TTAATGTGAAGTATAATAGACTGTGACAGAGCACATTAGTGATTGCCTGGGGCTGAGGTGGGAACAGCAACGGACTGGAACAGGGAAACTTTGTGTGTGCATGTGAGGGGGTCTTGGGCGTATTCTACAACTTAAGTGAGATGATGTTTGCACAACTATATAAATGTACTACAAAGCACTGAACATTTTGTAATCTATAAATTATATCTCACTAATGCTACTTATTAAAAAATAGAAATGTGACATTTGTATATGCAACATAAACAAAAAATAGCTGTGAATGAAAGGCCTTTTTACTGTGTGGGTTTTACTTTAATAAAAAGTTGTATCCAAAAAAGTTCATCAAGTTCTAATAGTGATAGTGTCTGAAAGACAAGAGTTCTATTCTTGCCAAAGTTTGGGGGAGAGTCCAAAAGATACTTAATAGGAGTGGGCTTGAGTGGGAAAACAAACAAATGCAAGTACTAACTCATAGCACTATAATGACTGCTGAGTGTCCAAATTTGCGTCTCTGCAGCAAACAGAAATGACCTATCTCCTAACTGTCTTTAGTCTCCTGAACAGACAACAGGACTAGACCACATTTATTTAAGAGACTGTGGGTCCTGGCTTCTGATACAGGAGCTAGTTTAGCTATTCATTAGCTTGTGATCTTAAATTTGCTTCTACTTCCTGGGTCTAATTTTTGCCATCTGTAAAACCAGGATGTCATTCCTGCTGCAACATGGAACACGGGGAGTTGGGACCTGGGATGAAGGGCTGGGGGTGCCTCATTGCCCTGTCTGTAAACTGGGAAGTTAGCAGGCCTGGGTGGCCCTGTCTGCACAGCTTCTCTCCTCTCTACAGCTACTGCCAGCCCTGCTTCTTTGAGGAAACTTTCTTTCCTCCTTCCTGTCTTCTTTAAGGAAATTTTCCTTCCTCCTTTCACTCATTCCACAGTGATTCCACTGTGATTATAGCTCTAAGAGAACCCACAAGAGGACAAGACAGTCACAGAACCGTGGGAGAATCCAGGGGCAACACAAAATGAAATATGGGCAAATCAGATCATCTGAATGCCCCTGAATTCACATTTTTTTTTCAAGATATGTGCTAATAAATCCCCTTCCTTGCTTAAAAGCACAACTATAGGGCTTACTCCCATGTTACCCCACCACCACCACCACCACCACCACCCATCCAAGAACAAAAAAACAAAAGCAAACCCTTTCTTTGGCCCGCTCAGGGCTGGTGATACATTGGGAATCACCTCTGCGTTTGTCTCAAGTTTTCTCCCTCCAGCCCTGGGCCTGGAAGCTCACGCAGCAACCACTTTTTTGTGTCCAGGTTGGAGTGTGAAAGGACTCCATTAATAATCAATGTCCAGTTAAGGGGGCCTCTGCCACGATTTCATTCTTTGTACACTGAAGTTCAAATAAAATAAAAAGGACTTTAAACAGGGGAGATTTTCAGGGGCTTCCCTTGAGGAGTATCTTCTAAAAGAGATGACTTCAGTCCCCCGATCTCACCTCCACTTCAGTGGGGGCCTTCTCCTGGCCTTCTTTCTCTGCCCAACACTAAGATCCCTGGTGACTGGGCATAGAGTGAGCCTTGAATGTTGCAGGGATCCCATTATTAGGGGCTCTTGGGCTCTCTTCCTCAGGCACTCAGTTACCTCTTCTAGTTTGGGTAGCTGGCACTGGGCCCCAAGAGAACTCTATGGGAAGAATGAAAGAATAAAGGCTATTAAAGAAAGACAGAAAGTGGTTTTCATGGGAGTATGGGGCCACAGATGTCAGCACGGCTGGCTGTGTCTGTTGTCAGGTGTTATGGGGTGTGCTCTGGGAACATTCTGAGAGTCAGACCTGGGCTCATTTGCAGAACCCATGAAGTAGTACCTTTGGGGCTTGGCTTCTCAAGGGCAAAGAGTGAGCACTCAGAAAGTGGTTGTTAAAAAAACCAATCTGGGCCCTCCCTGGTGGTGCAGTGGGTTAAAGCACAGCACTAAGAAGCTAAAGCCACTTCAGCATAAATTCAATCCCTACCTCCCCCACCCCGCCCCGGAGGTGATCCACAAGGCTTAGCAGACCTCTCCTGACCTACCCGCTGCTCCCCTCAGCAGTGTACTTCTTCAGTGGGCCTGTTCTGCTCCCCACTCTGTCTCTGGTGAATCCTCTCAGCTGGCCCCTGCACCTCTGGCCTGTACCCCAGTTCTGTGTGCATAAATAAATAAATCTTAAAAAAAAAATCTAGGGAGGGGAGATGTTATTTTTCACTGGATAGCTTTCTCAGCTGTTGAATTATTTACTAAGATCATGTGATGGCAGCAAAAAGAAGTCAACTTATAGTTTAGAATCATTAAAATCTCGTTTTTTGGACAGGCTGTCTCCCTCCTCCACACAGCTGCCCCCTTTTCAGCCCTCCTGGTGCTGCTGTATGTTCCTTGGGTGCAGAACTGCTGTCACTTGTGAAGTGATAGCAGAGGAGGTGACTGTGCTCACGACAGCCAAGGAGAACCCAAAGGTGCCAAGATGGAAAGCAAGGACCAAATTAATTTGAAGATGGAGGTGAGGACAGTTCCTTCAAGCAGTATAAGGCTAAGAGGCAAACACCACTCTAAATTAATGTAAGCCTCTGTGAACCCAAGGTGTGTCAGCGAGGAGGATCAGATTCAGAGGTGAAGGGCACCAGCCCGTGAAACAGACACACCCATTGGAGTGGGGAATAAAGAAACAAGTGATGTGTTCCAGCAGCAGAATGGAGTGTCCACTGGAAGGGGAACTGGCCACTTCACCCCAGACTCTGAAGATCCAAGACACGCTCAATTAGAAACCTCCTGTTTCCACTTTCTATTGTGTGACAGTTTTCTCTGTTCCTTTTCTCCTCCACATGCCCACTGTGTTACCGAATGCCAGTCTCAGTTTCCCTCGGCCAATAAAAGGAAACAGAGTTTGAGGAAAAGGAAAGTGGTTTTATTTGTCGACAAATGAGGAGGGTAGCAGACTCATGTCCAAAAGACCACCATCCTCCTCTTTGGCAAGTTACAGGGTTCTTTATACAATGGTCAACAAAGAAAAAGGGGAGGTGGGAGAGAGTCCGTAAAGGGGAGGGGGTAAAAGTGCTGGGATGGAGACCGGTGGGCACCAGGTTTTATTTACACAAAGACAAACAAAAATGGCGAATCAGCAAGAGTAATGGGGAGGAGGCGGGGGCAGCTCAGGGAGGAAGGAGTCTCACCAGCTAGCTTTCTCACTATTTGCTTTTGTTTGGGATTCCTTTTCTTTACTCTAAACCTGTCAAGAGAAGAGAAACTGCAAGGAAAAGGAAAAGAGAAGAGAAACCTGTCAATTAAGAGCTGTGGGAAAACCAATTCTGTCATAAATCTGTCAACGGAGGCAATTCTGCAAATGCTTATCAACTGTACATAAAATAATACGTGTGTGTGTGCAATATTGCATTTTTTAAAGCTAAAAGGGCAATGGTGTGTATTGATGAACAGCAATTGGGGGTGGGATAGAGGAAATATTGGATCTGTGAAAATACCCCTTTCTCTATGAGTGTTCATTCAGCTCTGACATTTATATTCCAGTAAGTTATTTTTGCTCCCAATGTTTAACAACAAAAATAAACCTTAACAATTCTTGCAATTAGAGAAATTAAATGTTTTTCATTTATTACTGTAAAACCAAGGACAATTTTAACTTTTCGTATGTAGCAGTTATATGCCAGGTAATCTTGTTTTAAGTAAGGATAAGTAACTTCTAAAAGAAATGAATCCTAAATGGCTTTCTCTTCAAGTCAAATGTCTTACTGCTTACATGATCTTTTAATTAAAAAAAATCATAACTTTTTCAATTTATTTTTAAAAAGATCAGACTCTTGGTTCTTGAGGTCAGGAAAATGTCACCCCACATAGAAGGGGCAGAGGCCCTCTGAGAAGCCTTTTCTCCATGTTATGTTACACTTAGTGATGTTAATGATGGCTTTTTCAGGTGGGGGGGAGGGAATCAAGATGGATGATTAGTTAAATGTTAACCCCAGGTGGGGATTTGGCAATGCTGTGAGCAGGAGCTCAGGTTCCGTGTGGGCTAGAGTGGGGGTGCGGAGTGGAGGTGCTAAAGATGCTTTAGTCCCAGGTAAACAGGACTGTTGATCAATCCTTCACCTGAAGGGCAAAAGAAGGAGTAGTCAGGGCTAGACAGAGTGGAGGATAGAGTGGTCTAGATAGAGTGGTTCAACAGGGCAGAGTCTGCTGTCATGCACTCATGTCCCAAGTTTGGACAAGAACTGGATCCACCCAGGAGCTGACTGAGTGTGTACAGGCAGGCATCATAGCACCCATGGGGTGTTGGCGGAGTCATGTGTCTTGAGCCATTGGCAGGAGCCTCACTCCAGAGCAGGAACCCTCAGAACCACAGCCAGGCCTACAACATCGCCAAGTCAGCCCCTCCATAACCCACAAACCCCATGGGGGCTGAATGCTGAGTTATACCACTTAGAACCCAAGATTTATCCTTAAATAAAGTATATGGAGGCTAGAGAATGTTTGGGTCAATATGTACAAGTAGTCACTTGCTTTATCTCAATCTCAGAGTTACTTGGAAAGGTTTCATGAAAGACAAATACAGTTTTAGTGGCTATGTTTAGTAGAACTAAACATTGTCCAAGTTTAGTTTCAGGGTCCTAAAATGGTGGTCCCTGACATTTTCTGAACCCCCAAACCCCTACTTTCCTTTAGAATCTACTAGCATCAGTCATCATCTTAACCTCAGCTTGTCATTTTTCCCCCATTGTAAGTACTTATATAACTTCAAGGTGTTGGGAGAGATCCTACTCCACAAATCACTGCTCCCCCTCCCTTAGTGATCCCAATCTTGAGGCAGGAACAAGAACAGTGTCCTATGTCCCCACTGCCATAAATATATTTGCCTCCTATTTATATAGAACCCTGATTTCAGAAAAGTTGTAACCACCATCCACAATCGGCAAGCTTGAAAAAAAGTTAACACTTCACAGTGGTCTCAGATTGCATTTAATGAGCAATTTGGTTTTGTTCTGTTCAGACACTTGACTCCTAGAATCTACAGTGGGCCCTGACAGCTGGCAGGTGGGGCTGTTGTGGTAGGTCGATGCTGTTGCCATCGTGAGGCCTGATGCCATCAAAACTGTAGGACATCCCTGACAACTTTTACGTAGCGGCTATCCGGAGGCATCTTCCTCTGACTCCCAGGCTGCAGGAAGGCCTTAACTGTGGGAATATTGCTGATCCTTGCTTTAAATGCCTAAAATGAGAAACCATAGTCATGACCTTTCAGAAAAATCAAACTTTGTCATGAGAAATTTAGATTGCCAGTTCACATAACCCAGTGTGTCACATCTAAGCTAACCCCTCAACATACCTTTATTGAATTTTCCTGGGAAGGGTAATACAATTGCTGGCATGTTTAAAATAAGTCAAATTTATTTTGTTAAAAATCATTGTGTGGGCGCTCCCTGGTGGCCCAATGGGTTAAAGTGCAGTACTACAAAGCTGGCCACAGCCGCTTCAACAGTTCAAACCCTGGCCAGGGAGTACGCACATGGTGCTGCAGACCTCTCCTGGCCTGCCCACTACTCCCCTCAGCAGTGTACTTCTTTGATCTGCTTGTTCTGCTCCCCACTCTGTCTTTGGTGAATCCGCTCACCACCCCTGTACCTTTGGCCTGTACCCCAGTTCTGTACGCACAAATAAATAAATCTTAAAGGAATATCACTGTTGCAATTAGGGAGTGTATATTAAATATGCTTATCAATTCCTCATAAGTGAATACTAAGGGTATGAGCAAAGAAAAATTATAAGAATGCTAGGACAATGAAAAATAGGAACTAACCTATGTTTCCAGGAAAAGAAAACTGGTTATATAAGTGATTGTATGTCCCTGCAAATAATACAAGGCAAATGATACTTCAAGTGATATTATATACAAAAGGAAAGAAGTTTCATTTATTGTTAAGGAAAGTAGGGAGGGAATAGATATTCAGATGTTTGTATCTGCACAAGTAGGAACACTAGCAAGGTACACAGGTCACCAATAAAAGTGATTATGAGAATGGGGACGTGGGAGAGGCCATGAAGGGAATGAAATTTCTCAATTTGTGCCCTCTGTATGTAGTTCTGATTTTTCAAAGAGATATGACCCAATGGCCTAGTGAATATCAAGTAAAATGGTATGCAGAAGAGTATTTGTTCTACATCAATGATAATTGAGAAAAATTTTTAAAGTAGGCCATAAAACAATATTTCTTGTGATCTTATTTGGGAGGAAAATGTAAAATAATGGGTCAAGGAGTGTACATGCAGTTAACATTAAGCTGGCTAGGTCTTCTAGTTTTCTTGATTTATACAAATGTCTATGGTAGCACATAAATTTGCATTTCTTTTGTAATAATAAAAAAAAGTTATCCTTAACTACAAAATATAATGCCTTAGATAACATATCTCTAAGGAACTAGGCCAGAGGCCCGATAAAGCCTGAAGGTGGCAGCATTCAGAGAGAAGTCTGAAGACTAGCACAGGAGAGCAGGAGCTCTTTAAACAACTGAGGAACTGCCCGGGGCCCTAAGGAGGGGTCAGAGTTATGTGGTAGAAGCTGGGTAGGGAAACAATAAAAACAGACTTCTCACTCAACATTACTTCATGAAGAATAAACACTTGAAGCAGTAAAAAAAAAAAAAAAAAAAAAAAAAAAAAAAAAAAAAAAGGAAAATGGGCCTCCCTGGTGGCACAAGGGGTTACGTCTTAGCACTATGGAGTTCTCTGCAGTCACTGCAGCACGAATTCGATCCCTGGCCAGGGAGCTGACCCACATGGTGCAGCAGACTACTCTTGTCTCACCTGCTGCCCCCTCAGCAGTGTATTTCAGGAGACCTGCCTGTTCTGCTTCCCGTTCTGTCAGTGGTAAATAAATCTTCTCACTTTCTGTACACCTCTAGCCTGCAATCTTAGCTCTTGTATGCATTAAATAAATTAATCTAAAAAAAAACTATAAAAAAGGAAACTACTAAATGTTTATCCCAGAAATCAAAACGATCTATTCTTTCCCCCTTCATAAGATTTTACATCCTAGTTATTCTTTAAGAATAAGAAGAAAATTACCAAATGAATGGAATAGTGATCTTTAAAACAGCCTTCCTAACTTTCTTTTGTTTTGACTGGAGGCATTTAGTTTCAGCCTGTGTCCATTTTTTGTGGGCTTTGTGTGGATGTTAATACACTACCTTTAGCAGAGGGAAGTCAGAAAGAACAGAAGCATCAAGTTCTTCCACCATTAAAATAGCTTCTAACAGTTGTATGTCAGCCCAACTGAATTTGTTACCAACAAGAAAATCTTCTCCATGATCTTTCAAAACCTATAGAAAGGAGAATAAAAAGAATATAAATACAAATAAAGATTACAAGTAAAAATTTACAAATAAAAATAAAGATCACAAATTTATTTGTCATCCTATGTACACATCAAATTTACTAAAGAATCTTTTCCTGGTAGTCTCCAAAAATGCTTGCAAGGATAGGTTCAAACCAATGATCCTACATATTTCAGAAACTGGCAGCATCTTTTTGGAAACATATCAGTGATTATCAAGACATTTCGGATGGTGAAGTACTAGAATGGAGTTCTCAGTTAAGAACCTACCGCTGGCTAAGTAAAATTGTACAAAACTCTGCAGAGTTTCTCCAGGACGTCCTTTCCCCCTAACAGATATACGAATGGTAGGTTTACTCCATAAGTAAGGAATAAAGGTGTGGAGAAAAAAGATCCCTTATAAACTGTTGGTGGGCATGGAGACTGGTCCAGTTCCTGGAAAGCACTGTGAAGGTTCTTCAGAAGGTTAAAAATGGATCGGCCATACAATCCAGCAATTCCACTCCTAGGACTCTACCCAAAGTACATAAAAACACTAATTTGAATGAAAACTTGAGTTCCAGTGTTTGTTGTGGTACTATTTACAATAGCCAAAATATGGAAACAAACTACATGCCCCAAAATAGATGAGTGGATCAAGAAGATGTGATACACATGCACAATAGAATACTGCTCAGTGATCAATAAAGATAAACACATGCTGTTTGTGGCAATGTGGATGAAACTGGAAAAGGTTATGATAAATGAAATAAGCCAGAAGGAGAAAGATAAATATTGGGTGATGTCACTTATATGCGGAATATAGAAAAACCAAACGAAGGATCAAACAGAGCCAAACTGTAAAACCAGTCTTTGAAAACTGACCATAGATTTGAGGTATTTAGTGGGGCTAGGGAAAAGGATGGAGAGAGGAGAAATGAGAAATTGGGGAGAGCACAGGTGACTATGGTAGAGGTTCTGTGGTAGTAGAGCTACAATGACCACACCTAAGGGGAGAAATCCTATATTGTAAAAATATTAACAAATTTGTAAAACAATCATATTTCATTAATAAAAATAAATAATTTAAAAGAAAATTCTATCTATTTCCACAAGTAATATTATCAGGCCACTTAAAGAACAAGAACAAAAAATTAACAAACTCATTGGTCTTTGAAGAAGTAGCTAAATCATTTTGTAAAATGATGAAAAAAAGAAACTTGTGTCCTCCATAAACCATACTCAAGGGTAACCAATGTATTATGTGAGGAAGACTCATTTCTTAGAAAGTATTAGAGCTAATAAATGAGGAAAGACTGATAGGATCAGAATGTCCACATTTTGTATCTACTAGTCAGCCAGTGTATCTGAGTCTTGATCATCAGTCTCATTGATTTAACAATGATAACCAGCAAAATGTGTGTTTGCTAATGAACAAACCACAAATCACCTATGAAGTAGTCTGGCCAAAATAAACCAGAACATGATCTCACTTCTAATTCTAACTTTCTATTGGCTGGGTGTCTAGAGAATAAGGGAGCACGTTGCTGTTAATAAAATCCACTTTGGGGGGCAGAACAAGACAAATGAAAGATGGAAAAAAAGAGAAAAAGAGAAAAGAAGGTGGCCTCATGGATTAAAAAGCAACTTAAAGGCCCTCCTGGTGGCACAATGGGGCTAGGATGCAGCACTGCAAGTGAGCAGCAGCTGCTTCAATGTGCAAACCTCTCCTGACCCGCCCGCTGCTCCCCTCAGCAGTGTCCTTCATCTGCCCGTTCTGCTCCCCACTCTGACTCTGGTGAATCCTCTCACCACCCCAGGACTCTGGCCTGTACCCCAGTTCTGTATACATAAATAAATAAGTCTTTTTTTAAAGCAACTTAAGAAATGCAATTGACTAATTACAATGAATGAACTTGAGTTTGATCCTATTTTGAGTAAAACCCCAATATTTTAAATGCATTGGAAGTAGTGAATAAGGACACACAGATTTCAAAATCTCCCCTATGATAACACACACTTAACCTTATAACTCAAATGAACATAATTATTTTAAATGGAAGATATCTCAACAATCTTGTACACTGTCTCCAGATAAACAGGAACTTAGTTGTCTAATACTCTAAAATGGAAGAACTCTTAATTATAAAGTACAGTCAACAATAAATCATCTTGTCTACCACTGACCATAAAGCCCAGAATTCTTTTATTTTGCAAACCTTTAACTATGGGATTCTTTAACATGCCAACAAGTCTATCATATTTTCTGTTATTCTCCAGGCTTGAAACCTTACCAGATGTACTGAGAGGACATTTTTAATTAGTATTCATCCAAAATGACTTTAGAAAAGCTGTAACTTTAAAAGGCTTTCTTTTGATTGAGGCACGATCACCTATAAAATTTAATCTAAAGAAATCACTGACTTCAAAAGAATCTGAGGGGGTGATACCTTGGGCTGATAGCTTATTTTTTAAATCAGAACAGAAATGCTGCATCCTTTCATTGCACTTGGTTTACTCCAATTATAATTTGTGGGAAATTCCATAGTTATACATGCCATTTGTTCTGGAGTCCTTATTAAAGTTTTGGTCCAAATGCAATAAATTTCTAATATTTCTATCTTTGCAAAGATATTCACTCTTTAAACATTCTTAACAGCAACAGGAGTGTAAAAGTCTAGGTTCTTGTCACCTACCTTTTCAAAGACTGGGAAATAACGGGTTCTAGCTTTCTTCACAACTAAAGCAAGGCTCTCTTCTTTTTCCTGCGGGGGCTTAAATGCAGCCACAGCGATCATCAACATGAGATCGAGGGTCCCATCCGCGTACATATCGATCCTGACAAAAAATATGTAACTTTTATTCCAAGCAGAAACTTTTGCGTATGGGGTTTCCAAATCTGCCACTTCTATGGTATAAACTGGAGCAGATGACTTTTAATAACCCCGTCTTAAGCTTCCTCACTCAGGAGCCAGGGTGGGCCAAGTGATGGCACTATAGCAGGGTCTGTGGAAATGTTTATTGAATAAAGTGATGTAGGAAAGAATTATGAGAGCCTTTAAGTTGAAACCTGCCATAAACAAGTAATTAGATTATATCATTTTAAAATCTGAACTGAATGTAGTTTACCAAGAGTGTAAAACTTTTAGTACCAGAACCTTTTCACGTATTTAGAGAAGATAAACCATTGAGCAGGTCTTCCACCCGGCAACTGAGAGAGCTCTTGGTCAAGTCAAACAGCTCTATTTCCTGCTCTTTAAAATTTTCCTTTCACTGACAAACACTGTTTTAAAAGTTTACTATAAACTAATGATAATACATATTGTTACTTATTGGTGTGTTGTGTAGGCATGATATACTTATATTAGTTCTTTCTGCAACTAGTTTGCAAACTCATTGTGTGTCTGATTCACTCTACCCTGTGCTAATTGCCCAATAAATTTTGTTTTCTTTGTTTTTATCTTTCTTTTTAACACATATAAAAAGACTATTTTACTTTCATTAGCCAGTCTGATTGCAAATCACCATTCTTCCTTATTAGACTGCTTGCATTAACCTGGTTCAGTTTGTGCCTAACCTAGGGAAAAGAATAATAATAATGCTATTTATTGCTTAGGGTACACATCTTGCAAAAACAAAACAAAACAGGAGATTTTAAAAGAATTTTTGAGCATACATCAAAATACAGAGAAGCAGATTGCTTTTGCATGCTAGGACTTGTTTACATTATTAAATAAAAAGAAGTTGTTTCTCTTGCCTACACTGTTGCAATTACAGGTTAGGATGACTAAACTATGTTTGGTTGAAAGATGGAATGTGGGAAGTTTAGACATGCTGCTTGTTAGGAATTTTGCTCATTCGTAGGTTATTCATTCTTTCTCTCTATTTTCTCTTCCCGAAGAATAAGCTTGGGTCTTAACTCTGTCAAGTACTGACCATTCCATCTCGCCCAACCTTATAGCGGCCAAATACAGATAAAATTTCACAGGTTTAAGTCCTTGTTTTGCCTTAAGTCTATTTATCGCTTGTAAAACTATCACCTGACCATCCTCAGCCAGGTCTGGCACAGTGCCCAGAGCAAATGATTGTGGTATATACATGTAAAAAGAACAAAAAATGGTCACAGACCTTCACCTTCTGTATTTGTGATAAAACAACAGTTGGGGCCTGTTACCCTTACTGACCTAATGACAGTCTAACAGAATAAGATGGGATCTGTGAGGTGCCATCTCTAAGCCTGGAACTTGGGGCTTTGTACGCTGTTAGTCTCTCTGATAACTCTATCTAGCTATTAGGAGAATGAATCAGGATGATCGGGATATGGTCCTTTCCCCACTAAATTGACAGTCTGCCATCATGTAGAAATTACCAGGTCATTTTATGAGAACATATTTTGTTCGGAGAGGGAAGAGAATATAAGAGTGTTGAGTGTAGAACACTATGAATAATTATAGGGGAGACCTGGACTACTTATTCAGTTGAGCACAAGATATGGCAGGTATAGAAGGGAGGTGTGTCTCCTCTTTGTTCCCTATTTTCTCACCTCAGTCCAGCCTGAAAGACTACTTCCTGAACCAAGTCTTGGTTGGTGAAGGCTGCAGATTTGGGGTAAGAATTCTGGAATATGGGGGCCTTGCCAGTGGTGCACGGGTTAAAGTCTCAGCACTATCAAGCTATCAGCAGCCAATAAGGCCTGAGTTCTATCCCCAGCCAGGGAACTAACCCACATGGTAGAGCAGACCTCTCCTCTCACACACTTCCAGCTTACTCCCCAGTTCTTATATGTATAAATAAATACAAATTAATCTTTAAAAAATAGAATTTTGGGTGGCTATGGTGCAAAGCAAGGGTGAACTGGTGGTGGGAATTCTATGAGCACTATTCCTGAGGGAATAAAGCCATCATTGTACAAGAATGAACATCATATTAAATGTACACAGGTAAATAAATGATGTCGTCGGGAACAGGAAAAAAATAAAATTTTGGAATAAAGTTTTGTTCAACATCATAACATTGATGAGAAAAATATGGTTCCTGGCAGACTGTGTGGCATCTGTGTAGTCTCCCCAGGTCTGTGGGGGTTTTGTCAGGTTCTTTGGTTTCCTTCCACATGTCCAAGATATGCAGTTAGGCTCACTGGCATGTCTCCACCATCCTAGTATGAATGAGTGGGTGGGTGGGTGAGTGCATCCTGCAATGGAAGGCATCCTGTCCAGGCCTGGGTCCCATCTTGTACCCTGAGTTGCCATGACAGGCTTTTATCACCCATAACCTTGAACTGGATAAGTGGATTGAAAAATGAATGAATGAGTGAATTGGTAATTATTATTTAATATTGAATGCATTTTGGGCCTTTATTTACTAGTTTGGTGATTTTTTGGTAATTAAACAAATATAGGAACTTAACGCTATATATGTCAATTGGTCTGTGGTAGAACTAGTTTCCTTAGGGCTCTCCCTGGTGGGGCAACAGGTCAAAGCACCGAATTATGAAGCTCTTAGAAGCCACTGCAGCACTAGTATGATCCCAGCCAGGGAGCTGACCCACATGGCGCAACAGAACTCTCCTAACCCACCCGTTGCTCCCCTCAACACTGTATTTCAGTGGGCCTGTCTGTTCTGTTCCCCACTCTTTCTGGTGAATCCTCTCACCACCGCACCTCTGACCTGTACCCCAGTTCTGTAAGCATAAATAAATAAATCTTTAAAAAAAAAAAATAACCAACTTTCCTTATATGTTGTTTTGCTTAAGTCAGCCTCCAAGACCTACAAACAACAGTAAATGAGGACTTCATGTACAAGCATGAACATTAGGGTACCTGACTCTTTCCTTTAAGTCCTTTCCATATAAGTTGTACTTGGCAGCGAGGTAGCTGAGGATGGCCCTCGTCTGCGTCAGCGCCATTCCATCCATCTCTACCAGAGGCACTTGGCCAAAGAGCAGGCGTCCATCTGTGGTTTGAGCAAAGAGAGGTTAAACCACCTTGCATGGTGGCTGTGAGCCCACAGAATTGTACACTTCTACTTTTGTTTGTTGAGAGATTTTAAATTTTCTTCTAAAGTGGTGAATTCAAGACCATATTTTAAAGGAAATGTTACCATTTGCCTTATGGAAAAATCTGAGATTTTTCTTGATGATTTCATGCATTTTTAGGTTCTGGGAACTCATGATAGTTTATTATTTTTCTGCATTTACCATGACATTCTATAAGTGCTTCTGGTTCTTAGTATAGGTATTTAAGAATCACCTGTGGGGTGTGCATTGCTAAAAATACTCACTCAGGCCCTCCCTGGTGGCTCAACAGGTTAAAGCACAGCACTGTGAAGCTAACCGCAATCGCTTCGGTGCCAGTTCAATCCCTGGGCCTGGAGGTGACCCACATGGCGCAGCAGACCTCCCTTGTCTCACCCACTGCTCCTCTCAGCAGTGTACTTAATTGATCTGCCTGTTGTGCTCCCAGCTCTGCCTCTGGTGAATACTCTTGCTGCCCCTGCACGTCTGGCCTGTACCCCAGTTCTATATGCATAAGTAAATAAATCTTAAAAAAAAACAAAAAACACTCATTCAGCCTCTCATTTACTCTGACTCAGAGAGGAAGTCTGGAACTGAATTCTTTCAAACATGCCATGATCTACATAGCACCTGGTAGGATGCGATAGTGAGACCCAGGTAAGCCTGGATCTGAATATCAGCATTATCCCTTTCCAGGCGACTTTAAGCAAATGACTTACTGAGTTTCATCTTCCTCTTCTCTAACATAGTAAAAACATCTACCTAATAGGATTTTTTTTTAAAGATTTATTTATGTATGCATACAGAACTGGGGAATAGGGGCACTAAGAGGAGTCACCAGAGACAGAGTGGGGGCAGAACAGGCAGTTTGATGAAGTACACTGCTGAGGGGAGCAGTGGGTGGGTCAGGAGAGGTCTGCCGGGCCATGTGGATCATCTCCAGGGCAGGGGTCGAACGTATGCTGAAGTAGCTTTAGCTTCTTAGTGCTGTACTTTAACCCACTGTGCCACCAGGGAAGGCCCCTAGCAGGGTTTTGAAAGGATAAAATGAGGTAACATAAGTAAAATGTTGACTTTTGCCAATAATCAATATTCAGTAATATCTCATTTTCTTCTTCATGACTGCCTATAAAAATAATGCATTTAAAGATGTACTATAGGCCCTCCCTGGTGGTGCAGTGGGTTAAAGCACAGCACTAAGAGGCTTAAGCCACTTCCGCATGAGTTTGATCCCCACCTGCCCGGGAGGTGACCACATGGCGTGGCAGACCTCTCCTGACCCGCCTGCTGCTCCCCTCAGCAGTGTGCTTTGTTGATCTGCCTGTTCTGCTCCCCATTCTGTTTCTGGTGAATCCTCTCACCCCCTGCATCTCTCTCTGGCCTGTACCCCAGTTCTGTATGAATAAATAAATAAATCTTTAAAAAAAAAAAAGATGTACTACAAATAGTGCTTTAAATATAGATGTGCTACAAACAGCCTTTAAATTTCCATTAACATTTACTTGCATATTGTTAAGAAAAAGGAAACTTTATCCAGAATAGAAACCAGGTTTTGTCAGTGTATGAGCAAAAACCACATCGTTCTCAAATTTCAAATACTGTTCCTACTTGACATAGTGAGAGGCAATCACAGCTGCTGTAAGGCCACTACCACCAGTGACAGCTTTCCAGGGAGTGGCCTGGCTGGTTGGGTGATTGTAAGTCTCTAATTTCTCTGAGCTTGTTTTTGTTCCACACGGTACCTACCCTGCTTATGCTGCCCATACACTGAATTTCTGTGAGTAAAAATAAGGTGATACTTGGGTTTGTGCTTTGGAAATTGAAAGGAAAAGGCAGAAGGAAAGATGGACGCCGTGAGTCTGTTCACCAAAAGGAAGAAGTCCTATTTTATTTTAGAGCTGAACTTATATACACATTAAAGGTATCATGTCGAGTGCCCATTGGCTGGGCCACGGTCAGGCGGAGGGAGAGAGAGTTAGGAGGGTTCGCGGAAGAGTGTCCGGAAAAAAAAAGATACAATAAGCAGGACGGACTAAGCCCATGGCCATATATGGCAGGGAAAGATGGCCAGGCCCAGCTGGAACCAAGAGCAGTCTCCTTATCAGCTGGGGCCCAGAACTGCAGAGTCAGCCAAACTGTTTTCCTTCAGAAATAACAACACTACTATTTATGAAGAGACAGAAAAACTTCCATTTCCTAAAGGAAATTCTATATTTGTTCAATATTGAATAAGCATTGGAGCCAGGCTGAGTTACTGTTTATGAGTGGTGCAAACATCCATTACAAATGATCCCTGCTTCAAGGAACTGTTTTCAGAAGGATTTGAAAGATCTCAGATCAAGAGTGCCAGAAAGGATATTTGAAATCATTTAATTTGATTTACTCATTTTTATAAACAATGGCAATGCAGGGGCCAAGGGAAGCCCAAGTGACTTGCTGAAATTCAGAGTCCGGACTGCTAAGCCACAGATGTAGCTCCTAGCCCAGCGCTCTCTGGGGCTCTTGCTCTCGCTCTCTTTCTCCCTCCCCCCTCACTTCCTGCCAGTCCTTGCCTCCTAGTCATAGATAATAGCAATACCCAGGGCTATATCCTAAGCACTGCAGCACTGCCCCAGAATCAGGGAGGAAAGCAGGACTTCAGCTGCTGTGAGGGGCCACTGCCTACCAGAATGATTGCGAATGACTTTATGGAGATACATTCACTTATTTAGTCAGTGCATATGTATTTACCCCCTACTATGTAATAATGACTTATTTGGGGCAGTATGGGGCAGAAATACAAAGGAAGAGGAATTTCAAGATAAAAAAATTCTGGACAAGAATTTGGAGTGGAAATAGTAGACCTTATTAATAGTAATTAATAAGATCAATTACTACTTGCGATCTAGAAAAACAAAGGTTTTTTTCATGGTAAGAAGACAGAGTGCAAAGAAGTTAAAGGTTTTGCCTAAAGCCATAAGTACTGTTCTTAAAATAATTTGTGTTAGTTTCATGATTCTTTGTCAGCAATAGTGGGGATACCTAGGCTTCCTTAGATAAGGAAATGATGCCCTGACTGCTAGAAGTTTAAGGAAGTACTATGCCTTTACTAGTCTTTTCTCTCTGTCTCTCTTTTAAGATTTATGTATGCATACAGAACTGGGGTACAGGCCAGAGGTGCAGGGGAGGTGAGAGGATTCACCAGAGGCAGTGTTAAGGAAGTACACTGCTGAGGGTAGCAGTGGGCAGATCAGGAGAGGTCTCCTGCGCCATGTGGTCACCTCCCCAGCCAGGGATCAAACTAGCGGGAAGCAGCTGAGCCTAAATTTGTAGTGCTGCACTTTGACCCATTGTGCCACCACGGAGGGCCCAGTCTTTTGTCTTAATGAGAGAAGTTTTTCTGGGAAATTGTAAAGACCAGAGACTTCTTGAGTCCAAACTTAATTAAATTTGGATCTTTTTAATAGCTTTGATTCTACAATCATGCCTAATAAAATGGCTTTTGTTAATCTATTAAGACCACCAAGAACAATGAGTGAATATGAACTAGAGAATATCTTGGATCCCCTTCCCTTTTGCTCCCTCTTCTCCAACCCATTGGGTCATTATTTATGAAGTCTTGAAGGGATAGAGAGTGTTGACCCAACTGGCCCTGGGTCAACTCATATTACGATATGTAACTGAGGCCACAGTCATCATCTACTTGAACATCCTTTATGAAAGCCAAGGAGATAAGGCTCAAGACAAGTTTACCTCTGTGCCAGGAACATAGTGAAACATCATCAGTGCTAGCAATCTCACAATATGCCTTTTCCCAATAGTCTTTCTGGAGCCCTGTAATCTATACTGAAGTGAATATTTCCAGAAACAAATTTACTTTTTTTCTAAAAGTAAAACATTGAATAAAATTAGACTCACCCTTCTGCAACTTCTCATATTGTTCTCTTTTTTCAAGAAATTCTTCTTCAAACTAGATAAAAATAAAGATACTGTTGTAATTGCAGTAAGGACAGAAAGGGAGGGGAGGGAGAACAAGGAAGGGGAGAGAAGAGAGGGGAGGGAGGAGAAATATTCACAATATAAAATATAAAATGCCCTATGGCTCCCAGAATAAAAAATTTAAATGGTAACTTTGTCTTCTTCCTTTTTCTCTTTTTTCTTACTTTCTTCCTTCTCTTCTGCTATTCCATCTCCCAATTAGGGTAAACTGAAGTTCTCTTTGATGCTCATATATTCAATGAAAGGGATCTAAAGATCATTACCTAGTGGGAGTTATCATAGTTTATTGATAAATTTGTAAAGCTTTTGTGTGAAGAAGCTTAAAATAGGGGCAGGATAAGGCAAGCACAACAAAGAAGGTAATGAGTCTTTGTTCTAGAGGCCATGACCTTCAAATAGGGCAAACAAAGTCTATAATTGCATGAGACAAAATTCCAAAGCAATTGTGCAAATGGAAAAGACAGTAAAGAGGGAATTTAGGGTGAAACAATTTTTCTGTTAGATTTTTCAGATGAGGGCTGTTTCCAGGTGGGGTATGTGAATAAAACAAGACTGTTTCCAGGTGGGGTATGTGAATAAAACAAGCCTGAGGTGTTGAGACTGAGGGGAAAGCAAGCCTGTTTCCAGGTGGGGTATGTGAATAAAACAAGACTGAGGTGTTGAGACTGAGGGGAAAGACCCTAGAAAACCAACTGGTCCTATTAAATAGAATGACGCAGATATGTTCTTGCTTTCCTTCTTCTTAGGATCCACCAAGATCTTTTAGTCACTAAGAAGCTTCCAGAATGTTTCCCTGGGTTTTCACTCTCAGTGGTAATCTCTCCTTTTCATCTCTGACAAAGTAAGCCATGGGGAAGGCATGGAGTTTAAAGTCTTGATTCCGGAGGGGAGAGAACGACCTCAATTTCACTCACATCACCCTGTTTTCTTTTTCCAATCAAACACCAACCTCAACTCCAGCTGCTGCCAGCAGCCAGCGGATTGACTCCATCCTGCCCCTACCATTAAAGTAGATGAGCTTGGGTTTGGCCGCCATGATTCCCGACTCAGGATTTTCTAAAAAGCAAAATAAAAAAAAAACATGTTTAAAGAATAAAGGAATACAGGGCCCTTCCTGGTGGCACAAGGGTTTAAAGCAAAACACTATGAAGCTGTCCATAGCCACTGCAGCATGAGTTCAATCCCCTGCCAGTGAGGTGACCCACAAGGGTGGCAGACCTCTCCTGACCCGCCCGCTGCTCCCCTCAGCAGTGTACTTCATTGATCTGCTTGTTCTGCTCCCTACTCTGTCTCTGGTGAATCCTCTCATTGCCCCTGCAGCTCTGGTCTGTACTCCAGTTCTGTATGCATAAATAAGTAAAGATGGTAGGAGCAGTTAAAATTAAGAAGTCCACAGGGATATCCCTAAAAAGTCAAAATAGACCTTGGGAGCCAAGAAAGCAGGGAGGATTTCCAAGAAGGTGAAGAAACCCACAACCACCGACATCAAAAAGTAGCCAAGAGTCTCAAGAAGGCTAAAGCCTGTGCCATTCCAAAGGAGGCCACCAAGAACCTCGCCGAGCACAAGGCAGTGAGGCAAAGGCAGCAAAACCCAGAGCTGCGAAAGCAAAGATGTCTGGCAAAAAGAAGTAGGAAGTTAGTTCTTAAGAAGCAACAAAGCCCTAAGGGCGCTTCTCAAAGTCATCCTTCTTATATGCGTCAAAAAAATTGAGGAAGAAGGAAAGCCCTCAAACTCAAACCTATTTTATGAGGCCAACATCATTCTGATATCAAAAGCAGAAATGGACATCATAGAAAACCCCAGGCCAATAGCTGATGAACACAATGCAAAAATTCTCAGAAAAAAATTCATAACAAGTCAAATTCAACAATGCAATGAAGGAATCATATATCACACCCAAATGGGATTTGTCCCAGGGATGTGAAATGATGACTCAGTGCACACAATCAATCGGTGTGATTCACCAGCACAAAAGGAAATAGCAAGGTTATATCAGTGGATGCCAAGAAGGCATACAATTTTTTTTCCCCACGTGTCTGGTTTTATTTATTTATTTTAAATAATATAACAGTTTATTTTTACATCATTTTACTTTTTTTTTTCATCTCAATTGTAATCCCCGTGGGTTTCCCATCACCGAGTCACCCGTGTGCCATTACCATAGTTCCATGCACTTCCCTCCCCCCACCCCCGTTTTTGATCCCATTCCCCACTCCACCCCCACAAAATGTCTCTGGTATGGCATAAAATTTTTACCATCCAGTATCCAATTGTGATTAAAACGCTTAGTAAAACGGAGACGGAAAGAACACATCTCAGTATCATCAAGTCCATGTATATATTAAACCCACAGCCACTCATTCTCAGTAGTGAGAAAGTAAAAGCTTTTCCTCTATGATCAGGTAGACAATAAGAATGTCCACTCTCACCACTAGTGATCAACATAGTCTTAGAAGTCCTAACTAGTGGGCCCCCTCTGGTGGCGCTGCGTGCCGCAGCCGCTTCCGCACAAGTTCGATCCCCGGCCCTGAGGAGATCCACATAGCGCAGCAGCTCTCTCCTGACCCGCCCGCTGCTCCCCTCAGCAGTGTACTTCATCGTTCTGACTGTTCTGCTCCCCGCTGTCTCTGGTGAATCCTCTCACCACCTCCAGCCTGTACCCCAGTGCATAAATAAAAAAAACCACTCAGCTCCGGATTGTACCAGATGAAGACCTCACATGGCCACTGGGTATCATATCTTGAAGTCTCCTTCTATTTGCCCCCAAAGACCCAGTCAAGAGGGAGACACCGTTGACTGGACCTGGTATCAATGATAGTAAAAAAAAAAACATCTCTCAGGTAAAAGGAGGAACAGCAAAACGCCACCCTAAAATTATTAAATATGGCACAAGCTCTTGCTGGCATGGCAAAAATCAGCACTAAAGGGGTGCAGAGATGGGGATTGTGGAGGTATGGGAATACATGACTCAAGCAGGTGAGTGCTGGGTGCCAGGAGTGGGGTGTAGTTATTTCTGTTGTGAGGACGGGGATCACCAGATGAGAGGAAATCTGTGTTCCTGGTGGTGCATTAAGAGCTAGGGGGGCCTCGTGGAGGGAATAAATGTGGAGGAAAGCCGAGGATTGGGGTGTAGGTGTGATACTCTTCGCTTACAGCCTACTCTGTACCAGGCCCAGAATCCACATATGTCCAGTCTTTAAATGGAAATAAGTGTGTGTGTCTTGTCCCATCTTTCAAAGGCAAGGGGCCCAAGGCTGGAGGGACATTTTCCCACCTCTGTAAGCTTCAGCCTCCAAATCTCTGAAATGGGGGCAGGGAAAGGAGAGTAACCTTCACCTTAGAGAGTTATTACCAGGACTGAAGATTGAGAAAATACAAGATAAAATATATACCACAATATCTGACCCACATCAACTAGAGTGGATCCTATTTACTATTATTTATGAAAGTCTGATCCACAAGTCACAATAATTCAATAGTCCTAACTGGGCCCAGACAGCATTCCTCTCAGTTAACTCACCCAGTTTTGTTCCAATACCCTCTGACTCTGGTAGCAAGACAGCTTCCGTCCCCAACAAATAAAATGGTTCCTCTGTAACAGGGTGGTCCCTAGGAAAAGGGGAAGTTCCAGGTTCCCTGCCCCACCCAGAAGGAGGGTAGAGCTGAGCAGAGAAAAAGGAGAGAAAAGAAGGAATCAGAAGAGAAGAAAAGGAAGCCGGATGGAGAACAAGGAGACCTGAGGGAGCCACCTGGAGCAGCAAGCATGTGATGAAGAAACTGGGCTTGTTTCCTGACCCTGGACTGGTTAAGGCAGATGTGGGTGAGATACCTGTAGGGAGGTGATTATGGCAGTGTTTATTGATTTTGATTTTGCTCTTTTCCTCCCAGATTCGTCTGGCCATTTCTGACCCTTTTCCATGGGTCCCAGCCAGAAGGTGCTTTAGTCTTGTGGTGGGCATTCAGGCCTTGCTTTGGGCCAATCCCTTTTGGGTTGACTTTTGCCCATGAGGAGATGGGTGGCTTCAGGTGTTTGATTTAGAAGTTATATTCTTTGGGTTCCATATTGTATATTTACTGTATTAAAGTCCCTTTTCATTAAAGCTTTATATGTTTTGTCTTGTTGCGGCGGATGGCAGAACCCACTTAGAGCAGGCAGGTTTGGGGTGCCCTGTAACACCTCTAATATTCAGATCACTGACTATTTCTCCAGTGACAACTGCCTTCTCTGATCCTGCTCCTCACCTAGTAGAATCCATCTAAATAGACTTGCTAACACTTTTCTCTTTGTGCTTTTTAAAAAGACAACCAGACTTAGTGTTTCCTTGGTTTATTATGCTAAAAGTGGCTTATTTGTTAGCTTTCTATGTGATTTACAAATATCTCTTCCAATGCATGTGATATTTGTAAAACAGAGCAGAAAGTAAATTTGATTCAATATTGCAGCACAAGATATTTAAAAAGCAGAATCTGCTGTGGTTTTGCCTTTTTTGCTTGTGATAACAAGCATGATTAGAGAGTTTTGTAGTTTGTTGTTATATGGAAGCATATCTTGACATTTTTGTGAACCTTTTTGTGCCTACCCATTGCCCTCATTTCACAAGACACATGTGACATGTTATAATGGATATAACTTTTTTTATAAAGTTATAAGAGGATATAACTTTGAACTCCAGAACCTAGTTATAAGTATCACTCTCCAACCCACCACCACACCCTAGTCTTCCGTGGTGCCTAGAGGCAGCTCTAAAAATAAATCCAGCATTATAATGAGGAACACCCCACCTCAAACAAACAGGGCTGAACCTGCAACCTCTGACATTTCAAGAGAATTTTTCCCCCCATAGATGTCAATGTTTTGTCCCAACTTCTGTGACCAGCTGCTAGAAAGGAAGGCAGGAGGCAGAAAGGCTGAGCAAGCAGAGTTTATTGCTCCGGACAGCAGCTGAGACGGAGCCCATAGAGTGGGGTCCGGGGATACTGCCAACTCAATAAGGGGGATGGGTCTCTTATATAGGTCCTAAGCTCAGATTTCAAAGGGGTGACTCATCACTGTGTCCTTGATGTGAGGCCCAGTTCCTTATCACCTTCAGCTAGTCCCATCCAGGATGCAAGGCCCAGTTAATTGGATGCAAGGCCTAATTTATTACTGCCCTTATCTGACCCTCAGTAAATCTCCACACTTGGTCACTCCCAACAGTCAATAAAAGTCACTCTTGTGATAACCAAGTCACTGCTTCTTGAAAAAATCCCCAACTCTCATGCAGTCCATAAAGAGCTGGCTTTGGCCAGTAGCCGCTCCGGCCACTCTCAGCCTGCACAGTGACCTTCCAACTGGGCTCTCAGGTGGATGTGAAGGTCTGAACTGGAGGTTATGCAAAGGTCCCCAGCAGGCCACCCGACCCCTCCCATGAGGAGCTGCTCCTTAGATGAGCACACACCTCATTTTATTGCACTTGCTGTGATTGTACTTGCAAGATAATGCAGTTTCTTTTTTGTTTGTTTGTTTGTTCAAAGATATTTTTTACAAACTGAAGTTCTGTAGCAACTTTGGGTCAGGCAAGTCCATCAGGGCCAATTGTTCCAACAGCATGTGCTTGCTTTCTGCCTTGTGTCACATTTAATCAAGTTCTCCATTGTTGTTGTTGTTTTTTAAAGATTTATTTTTTAAGCATACCAAAACTGTGGTACAGGCCAGAGGTGGGGGAGTGAGGATTTTCCAGAGCAAAGCGAGGAGCATAACAGGTACATCTACTGAAGTACACTGCGGAGTGGAGCAGTGGGTGAGACAGGAGAAGTCTGCTGCACCATGTGGGTCAGCTCCCTGCTGGGGATCAAACTCGTGGTACAGTGGCTGTGGATAGCTTTGTTGAGAGTGAGCAGATGGGCAATACCAAACCTGACTTTGCATTCAGGTGTAAAGCACCACTATCAATACCACAATAACCAGAACTAGTCCTTGCATTGAGGTCCTTGCATTCAGGTGTAAAGCAGCATTAAAAAAAAAAAAAAGGAACCTAAAGCCTATATAAGAGACCCTTCTCCCTACAACACATGCAGTAGCTGCAGACTCCTGCCTAGGGTGCTCCCTCTCAGCTGCTGCCCGGGAGCAATAAACTCTACTTGTTCATCCTTTCTGCCTCCCCTCTGGTCACAGAAATCAGGACAAAACAAGCTTCATAATTCTTAACCCCTTGCACTACCAGGGAGGCCCCTACATTTTTTTTTTTTTAAGATTTATTTATTTATTCGTACAGAACTGGGGTACAGGCCAGAGATGCGGAGGGTGAGAATTCACCAGAGACAGAGTGGGGAGCAGAACAGGCAGATCGACAAAGTACACTGCTGAGGGGAGCAGCGGGCGTGTCAGGAGAGGTCTGCCTCGCCATGTGGATCTCCTCCAGGGCAGGCGGGGATTGAACTCATGAGGAAGTGACTTCTTAGTGCAGTGCTTTAACCCGCTGTGCCACCAGGGAGGGCCCTTACATTGTTTTTTTAAGACATAATGTTATTGTACATTTAATAGACTACAGGATAATATAAACCCAACTTTCACATGTGCTGAGAAAACCAAAATTATGCGTGGCTTGCTTTACTGTGTGTGATATTTCCACGATTGTGGTGGCCTGGAAGTGAACTCACAATCCTGCCGTATCACCGAGTGAGCCTCTGGCTGAGCACAGAGCATTCTTTCTACCAATGTCTATTTATCTAGCTCCTATTCAGAATACAGTATTGGGTTAGGCCTTCCATGCAGGGGATGGAAAATAAGATGTAGTTCTTACTGTCAAACACCTTACAAACTTTTTATTTTGTGCTGGAAGCTCCAGACCACGAAGAGGTGAATCAGAATGCAGCATTTCAGAAAAGTGTAACATAGTATTATAGGAACTAAAGGAACCATACAGAATGAATGTGTAGAAATACATTTGTCTGAGCTCCAGTCTCCTTCCTGCCCAAAGGCTGAAGAGCCCAGGGCAAGTGTTCTGTTTTTTCTTCCTTGACCTCTAAGAAATTTCAAAAAAGATTAGGCTAAACCACAACTTGGTAACAAAGAAGACCAAGTTTGTTTATGCTTCAAAAAGTAAACCTAGTTATTTTCATTGTTTAAAAAAAAAGTGCATTGTCAAAGTTTAAAGAACAGACACAAGGGAAATTTTCACTCCATGGCAATGGGAAATAAAGCAGAAAGCAAAGGAGCAGTACTTTCTGGGTTTCATCCCTAACGCAAACACTTAAGAGTGCAGCTGGTGAGAGATCCAAACCCCAAAGATCCAGGGTAGTAGAAGGTCAACCCCACCTTTCACTTTGCTTTTTGTGCTGCTGATGTTGACCAAGTGTGTCCTAAACTAAAGCAACCTGGTTGACCAAGAAGCCTCCCTGCAGGGCTCTCAGAACACCAGGGCTCCCAAGCTCCACCAAGTGCAACTTCTCCTGAGGTGTGCAGATAGCAGCTAGGGTGGTCTGAGTGCAATGTGGGCCTTGGCTAACAATTGTGTCCTCACCCAAAAATCTCTTAGAACAGGTAAAAGAGCATATATCTGAGTTAAGCCCTGAGTATGAGTAAAACACAAATGAAGTTCAAATTTCAGCTTCACCTCTCATTTGAGCAAGTGCTAAGCCTCTCTGAGCCTAAGTTTCCCATTTGCACAATGAGTCTAACAAGACCTGATTAATTTGGTTATGACATGAAGAGAAGATCGTGTATGCAACTTGCTGAACATAGTTAAGACTCAAAAAATGCCACATGTACACAATGTGCATGCAGGCATGTTCACACACATCTGTTATTTCCAGTTTGCAGCAACCTTAACATGTGAGGAAAGAAATCAGATGTGCTTCTGAAAAGAGGAAAGGCATTCTCTGAAAGTATAATTTTACACCAGCAGAATTAGCTTCATCTGGCACCTTATTAGAAATGTGGTCTCATTCCCTGGGCTAGACTTCTGGGACCAGAGTCTACATTTTCCACAAGACCCCAGGTGATTCACTTCTCCACTGAAATAAAGTTTGAGAAGTTGGGTCTAGAATGAAATTTAATTAAACTGCCGCTGAATTTTAGGTTTTTCTCTGAATCTAGGTTTTTCTTCCCTGGAAGGGATGGGCTAGAATAAATTCCAGAAGAAATTTAAAAAGTAGGCTGAACTCCTGGTGAAGTACTGACCCTGTGTGTGGCAGAGAATAGAAAAAGGGAGTGGAGGGGGATTTAGGAGAACAATGACTCCATGCTAGGTCATTTTCATGACTCCCTTTTAAGAGGACTTCCTGGAATGCACAAGCTTCTTCAATTCTTAAACAAAGGCACTGGTGTGCAGGTCCCAGCCCTGGATTGGGTCTAGAAGATATGCCAGCAATTTTCAACTATAAAATGTGTTGTCTAGCATTAGATCACCTCCCCTCAGCCGTTTGAACAATCTTCCTGATCTTCTTTCTCTTCCCTTGTCTTCGCTTTTTTGTCCTAGGCTTTTATCTGGGGAGCTCACAGGTTGGGAAAGCAGCCAAGCTGAGGTGAAGTTTTACTGACAATGTTAACAGTCACTTTGGACAATTTTGGCAAAAAATACATTTTTCTCAATTAATTTGAACAGTGAGGTTAAAAACATCATGTAAAAAAAAGTGTGTGAGAGGTTAATTTAGAAATTCCTATTTTTTTTTAATTAAGGCAACATTGGTTTATAACACTATATGCAATTCAGAAACACGTGGCCACAGCTCTTCAGACCACACACCACACCCACCACCAACTGATTACTGCTTTTCATGGGGCCCAGTTACCCCAGAGGGACCCCAGCCTCAGAGCACTTAGGCAAAAACTTCCAAACATACTGGGGTGCCGTTTTCCTTTACTCCTTACACACCATGTGCTCCTGAACAGTGACTGTGTGGTTTATTTTTTTTCCAATGCATAAAAATATGTGAGGTTTGCCCAAGGAGAAAAAAAATGTAACGTCTCAAAAATTAATAAATGCTGACATTCTCCTAAAAATGTTATGTGAACCAATCAACAAACAGCACCTGACTTAACAGGCGTATTTTTGAAAGTCCTCTCACTGTGTGATGTGTCTGTGGGACATTCAGGGTCTGATGTTAAGTGTTCCTGGCACAGGCAATGAAAATTTCCCAAAAATTGTGTAGCTACTCAACGGTTAACTTTTCATTACACATCTTCTCTGCAGGAAAAAAGCATTTTATTCTTCTGATTTAATAGAGGCATGTTTAGAAATGGTAGGTATGAAATCAATCACAAATTTAACATCATTGCTTACTATAAGCTGCAAATTAGACCACAACAGACCACACACCTCTCCAACCAAGCCCAGGAAGTATGTATAAGAAATGCACCACTGACCTTCTTTCTCTTCGAGGTTCTTCTTTCTCTTCGAGGCTCTTCTTTCTCTCTGTTGCAGTGGGAGGATTAAGTGAGGGTTATAACCCTTTCCTTTTCAATTGGAGTTCTGCCCTCTCAAGGGATTAGCCAATGAGCTTTCCAGTTTGTACACACCCCTCTGGGGTTTCACTTTACATCTATTGTGATTTGATAGTACATGAAGTTACCCAAATAAGAAGCCCATTCAACAAATATTTACTGAGCACCACTCCGTGTTAAACATTGTGATAGACCCTGGCTCTACCGTGGTGGATTTGAGGGGCCCAATTCCTGCACCCGTGTCGCTGGTCCTGAGGTGGGGAAAGCGGCAGTGTGCAGAGAGACAAAAGAAGCATTTTCAACAACAAGAACCACAATGTCTCAGCTGATTATAATTTAATGAGAAGTGAAATTTATGTTATCAGTCTTATAAGGACAGGAGGGAGGAATTTGGGGATACTATGTTTTAAGTTCCATGAAATGGCATAGTATCGTTTGAAAGTGTTCTTAGCTAGTTGTAAATAGATATTTCACATTCAGGCAGCCACCAAAACTTTTTTTTTATAAGATATAATCGACAAGGGCCCTCCCTGGTGGTGCAATGGGTTAAAACAAGCTATGACAGCCACTATAGCATGAGTTGAATCCCTGGTCAGAGAGGTGACCCACATGGTGCAGCAGACCTCTCCTGACCCTCCTGCTGTTCCTCTCAGCAGTGTATTTCAGTCAATCTGCTTGTTTTGCTCCACTCTGCCTCTGGTGAATCCTCCCACTACCCCTGCACCTCACCTGTACCTTAGTTCTGTATGTATAACTAAATAAATCTTTAAAATAATGATATAATTGACAAGCTAAGAGAGAAGACAAAATGGACTCACAAAATGCTCATTTAAAACTAGACAATGCAGAAAAAAAAATGGAAGCCAAAAAAGAAGAATCAAGTAACATAGTTCTATTTGTTCAACCACTTCAATAATAATTATAATTGTGAATGATCCTAAATATATCAATTAAAAGGCAGAGATTATTGTGACTGGATGAAAAGAAACAAGATCAATTATGGGTTTTCTACAAGAAACCCACTTCAAGTATAAAGAAACATATCAGATTGCTTTTCGTGGGGATGTTTGTGCTGATATGGTGAATTATAACAGAGTGGTTCCCAGGACAAGGGGAAGTTCCAGGTTCCAGGTCCACCCAAGAGAGGTAGAGCTGAGCAGGGAGAAGAAGCTGGAGAGGAAACTGAAGAGGAAGGAAGCAGGACAGAGAGTCAGAAGTAGAGCTGAAGGAGGCACAGGAAGCAGAGAGACATGTGAAGAAGTGGCTCTTGTTTCTTGGTCCTGGGCTGGTTGAAAGAGATGTGAGTGAGAGGACTGAGGACTGTGGGGAGGTTAACAATGGCAGCGTTTATCTTGACCTTGATTTTGCTTCCCCTCCTCAGACTTGTCTGGCCATTTCTGACCCATTTCTATGGGTTCCAGCCAGCAGATGCTTTACACTTGTGATGGGCTTTTGGGTCTTGTTTTGAGTCAATTCCTTTTGGCTAGACTTTACCCGTGAGGGGATGGGTAACTTTAGGGGTTTGATTTAGAAACTATATTCTTTGTCTTTTCTGTATGGCACACTAATTGTATTTAAGTTCCGTTCCATTAAAGAGCTTGTATTTTGTTTTGATGTAGCAGATGGCAGAACCTATTTAGAGCGGGCAGGTTTAGGGGCTCTGGGGTGCTGGTGCAGATGCCTGCCTTGTAACATAAAGAGCTTCCCACCATCTTCTGGGGCAGAGTATTTGAGTTAAAGGAATCAAGATCATTCTGTAACAGGGTGGTCCCTAGAAAAAACAGGAAGTTCCAGGTTCCCTGTCCCACCCAGAAGGAGGGTGGAGCTGAGCAGAGAAAAGGAGAAGAGAAGGAATCTGAAGAAGGAAGCAGGATGGAGAGCCAGAAGGAGACCTGAGGAAGCCACTGTGATGAAGACACCGTGTTTGTTTCTTGGCCCTGTGCTGGTTAAAACAGATGTGGGTGATACCTTTAGGGAGGTGACTATGGCAGTGTTTATTTGATTTTGATTTTGCTCTTTTCCTCCCGACTTGTTTGACCCTTCTGACCCTTTTCTATGGGTCCCGGCCAGAAGGTGCTTTAGGCTTGTGGCAGCTTTCAGGCCTTGCTTTGGGCCAATCCCTTTTGGTTGGACTTTTACCCACGAGGGGATGGGTAACTTCAGGTGTTTGATTTAGAAACTATTCTTTGTGTTCTGTGTTGTATACTCACTGTATTAAAGTCCCTTTCCATTAAAGCTCTTATGTCTTGTCTTGATGCAGTGGATGGCAAAACCTGTTTAGAGCAGGCAGGTTTGGGGGCTCAAGGGTGCCCCTCTCTCCCTGCCCTGTAACAATTCAACAAACAACACCAGTAAATACAAAAGCTGTGCTCGTGCAGATGCTGCCTGCTGAAATTCATTCAGGCTCTGTGGACCTCTAAGAGGCTGCTCCAGGCCACCCTTTCAGGTGGGGCCATAAGAAGAGAGGCATTCCTTTGCGCCCCAGTCTGCCTAAGCTTCTCAGAGTGTGGCTTTGGGTTACCTCCTCCTTCAGTCACAGACACCAGAGCCCCTCACTGCCTGGTTTTCCTTTTTTGTCCAGACTCAGGAGCCCTCCCAGTTTATATGTGGCTGTGTACTAGGATCCCTTTGGCTCAACTGCTTCCAGCTGGTGGGCTTCCCTGTCTCTCCTCTGCTCTGGCTTCCGTCTCATGTATTTGAGCTCAGCTTTGTGCACCCTAGGACACTGATTTTTTTTTTTAACTTTTATTTCTTTTTATTTTACATAAGTTTATTTTTACATCATTTTGTACATTTTTTTTTTCCATCTCAATTGTAATCCCTGCGGGTTTCCCATCACCAAGTCACCCGTGTGCCATCACCATGATCCCGTGCATCAAACCCCCCATTTTGGTCCCATTCCCCACTCCACCCCTGCAAAATGTCTCTGGTACATGCTTGTTCATTATTTTTGTTATTTTCTCGCCTGGTCCATTATACTCCTGCTATGAGTGAAACCATCCGGTATTTTTCTTTCTCTTTCTGGCTTATCTCACTAAGCATGATCTTTTCCAGCTCCATCCAAATTGCTGCAAAAGACACGTGTTTCTCATTTTTTGGTTGCTGAGTAATATTCCATTGTATATATGTACCACATCTTTTTAATCCAGTCATCTACTTTTGGGCATTTGGGCTGCTTCCATGTTTTTCCAATTGTAAATAAAGCAGAAATAAACATGGGGGTGCAGGTATCTTTTTCAATCAGTGTTTTTGTGTCTTTTGGGTAGATACCTAGGAGTGGGATTGCTGGGTTGTAGGGAAGCTCCATGTTTAGCAGTTTGAGGAACCTCCAAACAGTTTTCCATAGTGGTTGTACTAGTTTGCGTTCCCACCAGCACGCTGATATTTTTAAGGATAAACCATCCAATCCCTGACAATCTCTTCCTACTCTATCACGAGAGTCTAGTGGCTCATGAAAATAGGAGAACAGTCTAGAAACTGAAGTGTGACAAAACCAGGATAATGGCTTCAGAGGTGGGATGGGGAACATGTTTTCAACCTGAGAAGTGATTTACATCAGTTAAGTTGTTGTAACCATGAGCAGGAAGCCAGAGGAATCTGTTCCATGGAGACATTTGGCCTCTTGTATTAAATTTCTCTAGTCCAGAGCAGTAGCCAAACTCCCAAGCTGCATTCTCAAAGAGCTGGCCTTGAGGGCCCCCTGGTGTCCAAAAGAATTAAAACCCATGAAACGATCTTTTGCAAAATGGCTTGAGACCTACATAGCACATAATCCTATGCCTCTAAATCATAGCCAGTGTTGTAAAAGCAGTGTTACTTCAATCATAAAATAAATAAAACATCTCTGCAGGGCTCAGTTTACAGGAGAGTGTAAAATGTTTCTCCTACCTGTGGAGCTGAGAAGTCCAAAAGTACATCTTTCCCTCTACAGTTCAAAGGTGCCCTTCCAACACCCCCAGGTTCAACAACCCCACGGAAGGACTCACAGCCCGCAATGAAGCTGTCACACTCAGGGTTGTGCTTTGCTATGGAGAGGACACTGATGACAAACAGCCTAGGGAAGAGATGCATAGGCCAGAGCCCAGGGTCCAAACAGGAGTTTCCGAATGCCCTCTGTGGCGCCAGGACCAGCCCTAACTCCTCCTGGCTGCCCTGTGTGACGGGCATGGAAGCCCACCCAGGCCTTGAGTCGAGTTTTACAAAGGACCCAAGTGGCATGACTGACTGCCCTCACAACTGCTCCTTCAGCCCTCAGAGTGGAGATGATGCCTGTGATCTCAAGGCCCCACCTGCCTCACACTGCTGGGGAAGCTCAAATCTCACTGTAAATCCCGTCATGATCTAGCCCAAGGTCTTGGGCAGACACTCCTTTTAGGCGTGCCATCCCAAGGGGGTAGAGATCACCTCCCAGAAGCACAGGCCGGGCCTGTCTTTATGCAGGGGAGACTTCACCACACTACCTTCCATTTTCCCTTACTGTTGGCTCTTATCTCAGCCTGGCCACCATGGTCCTTCTGGTGTGCACGTGGTACTCCTGCCACCAAGCCTTGTCCTCCAGCAATCCTCAATGCTCAGATAGCAGCAGGGTGCCCACATGTTAAAGAGTAAGGGAAGAGATTGATGCTGTCTGCCCTTGATTTTTCTCTAACAAAATGCAGAAGCACCTAGGGTCACTGTGACAGGCCCTTATGATCCCCTGGTGTATGCCTGTTATTTACATGCAAGCACTAGCTCCTCACTGCAGCTCAGGAAGAATGTCTTCTCTCTGAGACAATCATCAAAACTTGCTTCTCCTTCACTTTTAATGCCCGAGTCTTATACATTCCAAAAGCAGCAATTCTGCTGTTTGCACAGCTAACCTCCTACTGTGTGGTAGTTTTCTAGAGCAGGGACTCTGTGCCCTAGGCCACCCAGTCAGGTTGGGACATGAGAAGACAGGCATTCCTTTGGGTCCCCCATCGGTCTAAGCTTCTCTGAGTGTGGCTTTGGGTTACCCCCTCCTTCAGTATGGGCTCTGATCTAGGGCTTTGTCTCCTGGCCTCTGCCTAGCATATAACACTGCTAGGTTAAAGGGAGGTAAGTCAGCATGTTAAAAGCAGTTTTTTTTTCTTTTTAAAGATTTATTTATTTATGCATACAAAACTGGGGTACAGGACAGATGTGCAGGGGTGGTGAGAGGATTCATCAGAGACAAAGTGGGGAACAGAACAGGCAGATAGACAAGTGCACTGCTGAGGGGAGCAGCGGGCGAGTCAGGAGAGGTCTGCCGCGCCACATGGATTACCTTGGGGCTGGGGTCGGACTCATGCTGAAGTGGCTTTAGCTTCTTAGTGCTGTGCTTTAACCTGCTGCGCCACCAGGGAGGACCCTAAAGCAGTCTGTAATAAAAACTCCTTTTAGTTCTGCAATACAAAAAATTAGAAGCCTACAAATAAGCATTTGTTTGGGGATAAAAGTAATATATATTTGTTTTCTTACATATGCGCCACATACACTAGAAGGATAAACAAATGATACCTATGTTTGCCTGCTGTGAGCAGAACGGGGTAGCTGCCCTGTGGGCAGGGTCGAAAATACTGCTAACTGCAAAGCATCTTAAACAGTTTTGATAGCTGAACCATGTGAATGTATTTTATATTCCAAATAGTATAATTAAAAAAATTGTAGCAGCAGGGCAGTGATTTGCAAATTCTTTATTTTGGTTATTGACTGCATTCATTACTACCATGGATTTGTTATAGGTGAGAGGACTGTCATTCACTAGACATTTTGTTGTTACTAGATATTAAAAATTAGGGCTTAGAATGAGAGGAGAAAAGAAGTGCAGGGAGAACATGAGGTTCTGGCTGTTCTTGTCATCAGGATATGAGTAACCAGGTCTAATTTAAGTGCCATCCTCTCCAAAAATGGTTTTCAGAAAAAAGCCCTGTAACAATTATTCACTGGAAAAAAAAAAATGTACTAAAAGAGGTTTTAGGGACAGTCAGACATAGCACCATGATGGAGCTGGCATCAGTGAAGACACTATGTGGACACAGCGCTCTGCAGGGAGTAGCTCTCAGTCACAGGCGAAGGCTGACTTAGGGCATGAAGACGTTGTAGACGGTTCTCACGTAGATGTCATCTGGAGGAGGCTTCTTCTTGCTGCCGGGTTCAAGGAATTTCTTAATTGTGGGGATGTTACTTATTTTCACGGAAAACTCCTGAAAAGAGTAAACACAAAAGTTCAAGTTTAACAGTCAAGATCCACTATGGAAATACAGTTGTGCAAATGGCCCATCGATATTTGTTCAATAACTATTTGTTACAGAGATCCAACCAGAATTGTAATCTGGCATCTGTTTAAGAGTCTGATTTCTTGGTCTGATTATTTACAATCTCAGCCAACAGTGGCTGGAATCTGAGCCAGACTTTTTGAAACTCTCATTGTCCACACCAAGATGTAAACTTTCCTCAGAAGTCATAAAATAAAAAAGATACTTAGGATTATACTTGCTTACAGAAAAAACAGGAAAGGAAACTAGCAGGCATGGAAGTACCTCAAATGCTTGGATCTGCTCAGAAAAAAGTCAACAGTCATTTACATAAAAGTGTTTTTAGAAGTATTAAGATGGTAAAATTTATATTTTAGGATTCTGCTTTCTTGGACCTTTTTTTTAGACCCACTAGCAAATGAACCCTCTTTCTGCTTATGTGGGAAATGATCAATTGCATTTTTGTAGCTAAGGGCTCAGATATCAGAGAGTTATAGAAGAAAAAAATAGCCCTCAAAATATAGTTTCATTCACAGTCAAATCTTACCAAATCTCAGTAGTGGCTAAAAGCATATGAGTTATTCCTTTTTGACCTATTGACAGTTCTGAACTATATGAAAAATGTGCATTAGCATATATAATTTTTCTTCCAAAGTCATCTGAAAGATCATTTACTTGAAAAGCTACAATTTATTATATGTTACATATAATAAAGCAGTTTTGTTCTATTTTAAATTTCTTTAATTGCTGGATGCCTCCTGGCTAGTACATAATCATTCTGTAGCCCTACCACAGATGTATTTTCATTTTCTCATATTTTTGTTTGTAAATCCCATAAAAGTCTTATTTCCTCTGTTGAACATTGTTCTCTTGGACACATCAAAATGGACCCTATGCTATAATGACACAGGATAATGCTGAAAAAATGAACATCTAAATGATTTGTCACTGCCAATGGCCCTGGTTGGCTCTTCACACAAGAGCGAAAGCTGTCTTGGTAGATTCTGCTGTTGCTGCTGCTTTTTTACATTACAACACAGGCTTTTCTCCTCTTCTATCGCTCTTCTGAAGTGAGATGTGTACCTGATGTCTGTAGAATATGTATTTCTGGAACTACCTTCCATACTGAGCTGAAAACCCTGTACAGGTCTGTTTCTTCATCTTCCATGTCAATTTTTCTGAACTTAAGTGCCCTGAATTCTCTGCAAATCTTCCTCATCTTCATCTAACATGACCGACCCATTCCTTGCTTCCCAGACTCATTCCAGATGTTTTCTGCTCTCTGTTCTTTCAGTTGTGCTAATTCTTCTCCAGTAAGTTTTGGTCGACCTATCTCTTGGCCTGCAGGAATTGGTCAGCTTCACAATCTGGCAGATCATCCATAACAAATACACCTTTATGGTCAAGAAAAGAGCAAGGTATGTTTCTGATATTAACTCTGGACCCACCCAGAAGGAACTGAAGAGGAACCACTCTTCCCTTCATTTTCTAACTATAAGCCAAAGTCTTTATAATTGCATTTAACAGAACTTTCTTTTATAGAACTGATCCTGAGCCTCTGGTTCTCTGAATTGTTGAACAGGATTAGTTTTAAACCCCAAAATTTCAAGTTATGGCTTACAGCCTGAATAGAGATGAAACCACTGTCATTATATTTCCAGAACGCTGTTAAAAGTGCAATAGTCTTCCGTAGTCACTTCCCCTCTGTCATGCTCCTTCTCCCTCCTTCATCTATTTGCAACTGAAGGTTTCGCCAGGGCTAAAATATTCCCCCTGCAATAATAGGTCATTCAAACAGTGCTGAGTGCAAAGGGAGGCCTCTTGGATCTTGTGGAACATGCACTCATGCTCACTTGTATGGAGCCAACAGCCCCGTACCGACCACCCCACCTGTGACGCCAGTGTCAAGCAGTCTCAAACACGCAAACATACATACATGTCACTAATAGTTATACAGATTCTGATATTTATGTCAACTAATCCTATGCAAGTTACAATCTTTTTCATTGCCTATTTGAACTATCTAATTTGAAATATGCCAATATTTGGAAGCTTGTTCCATAGGATTTATTATTTCAAAATTAACCTGGATTCATATTTATTATGAATATTATGATAAAATCTTTTGTGATTTTCATTTAAGAGTTTGTGAATTTTTCTCTCCTCTTTAACCAATGCAGGAATGATCCTTTTTATTCAACTCAGAAGATCTGAATTAAGATCCTAGAGTTCTTTAATAGTGGGGCTTGATCAGATCAGAGATTAAAGTTGTGTTTACATGAGTGTGCCTGGGTTTAAAAATAAAAGCTGTTAGCATCACAGATGGAAAATATCAGTATACTTTTTCCTGTTTCTACAAGAAGGAATAGGTAGAAAGCTAAATTAAATAATGGCTATTTGTTATTGAAAATGTCTATTCTCATTTTCTGGGTGTCTGAATTTAACAGATGGTTGTTCTTATTACTATATCAAAATGATTTACTGGACTTGAGAAAAATTGTTTAAGTATGAGTTATTTTTTGGAAATGAAGTATGTATTTGGTCAAAGATGTGTTAACATTTGTTTTATATTTATTTTGTTAAGAAGCCATAGATGAATGGGCATGGCTTTGTGCCAAAAGAGCTTATTTATGGACAGTGAAATTTGATCTTCTTATAATTTCAGCTGTCACAAAATCTTCTGATTGTTTTTCAACCATTTAAAAATGCAAAAACTATTCCCAGTTCAAGAGCTGTACAAAAATAGCTGGAAGACCTGATTTGATCAATATTCCCAACCCCCAGTGTAGTAAAAAGCCCACAGATTTGGGTGGTGATAAAGGTTTAGGTTCCAGACCAAAACTAATACCACTATTTAGGCCAGCTTGACTGCTCACATCTTTGTTCTAGGTCTCCGTTTCTTTATCTGTTTACTGAAGGCATTGGATGAGATTAATTTTTAAAATCCTTTTTTCTGTTTCAAAATCCTTTGAACAACCTGGATAGAATAATACCCATGGATAAGCTGAATCACACATAAGTCTTCCCTTGGAATTAGTGTAAGGGAGAATAGTACGAACTTTGGAGTGATATTGAGGATCTTGGTTAGGAGCTCTCAGAACTTAGACATTTCCGGCTTGAAACCACAATATTTCAGTGAATGGAGCCCAATTGTAATGGGAACACTGTTTCTGATGATGACTCTCAAGCCCTCCTGTTAGTACATAAGATCAAATGAACAGTGCCTCATCCCTACAATTACCTCGGTGGAAGTCCCTATCAGCAAACTGTGTCTGTTCCAAAAGTGTGGTTATAAGACAAAGCTAAGGTCAAACTTCCTTAACCTGTAAATTCTCTTTCAGTCCTAAGGATTTGGGGACCAAGAAAATAATGTCAAGTCTGTAGCTTCATTTCATTTCACTAACCAGAATCTTAAAAAAATTATACATATTGCCTCTACCATCTCTCTCCCCTCCCACACACAAACCAACAAATCAAAAGAGACTGAAGTAAGTCCCCAGAGTTCTGGGCCAGCCTCATCATACTTGGTTTCATTTACCTGGAGGTGAGGAAATGCAGACAGAATATTGGGAATTTTCTCCTCTAGTGCCAAAATGGTTTGGAGTAGGATGACATCTGCAAGGCTCAGCTGATTACCAACAAGAAATCTTTGTCCATGATCCCTTAAAACCTGTGGGAAGTAAATGTTTTCCATCAGTTATTATACACTCTATGGGGAATCTGATGAAGTTTGGAAGTCAGTGCAGTATCTGAGAAGGGGGTGAAACAATGGCCTTATCCTCCGATCCTTTTACTTACTTACCCTTTACTAAGGAAAGGTCCCTATGGGGTGGGGGAACCAAAGGATATAGGCATGTAAACATCATTCAATATCTGCTTTATATCAGAATGAGAAACTGTAAATCAAAGGAAATATTAATCCTGGATTTAATATAAAGTGCCTTCAAAGGATACATCTATTCTACAGAATAGATTATTTATTTATTCTACAGAAATAAATTCCCAGTCCAGGAGGCTGCGAAAATGATTTAAGAAGGGCTTTCTCCAAAGGTCCAATCTTGCTTGCTAGTTCTGTGTGCCTATGAACATCAGGACTCATAGTCATAAACCAGACATGACTAAAAAAGCCTTCCTTTCACGTATTCTAAGACTCCCCAAACTAAAAACACAAGAGTTCACATGTTGTCTCCCACATTAAGGTAACCTATGGGTGCAGAGATATACAGAAATAGAGGTGACCAGGAGAGGCAAAGGGAGAATCTTCTTGTAGTGAACGCTGCCATGCCCATGAGGATGCGTAAGTGCCCATAGGAGTGTGGTATGTATATCTGACAAGATCTCTGTATGACCCCAAGTCAAAACAGTTACTGGAACCAGACAGGGACAACAATGAAGCCAGAGTCTGTGGTCAGAGGCTAGAATTCCGATTCCAGGTTCCGATTCCATTTGGGCATCATCACGTCTTCTCTCTCTGGTTCCATTTCACATGTGAGACAGAAGGGTAAAAACATTCAGCTCATGTGCTGTGAGCAGCCCTGATGCAGCTTGGTGACAGGAACATAAGAGCCAGCAGTGACCTTCAACCAAGACACCTGGTTCCTCCTTTACCTTGCCACATTTCTGCACTCTCCTAGTTTACATTCACGAGATGCCTGTGGGAAAAGACATGGAACCAAGCAACAGAAAATCCCTCTCCTTCTCCTCAAGGCTAATTTCACAAAGATGACCAAAGAAGGTCGGCCAAAGCCATGCTTTTACATTTTCTCCTTTTGTTTTCAGTGGAAACTTAAAATAAATAAATAAATAAATAAAAGACTCTTCTCAGTTCAGGAAAAAAGGAATTTGAAACTTAAAAAAAAAAAAAACACGAGTAATAGTATGATGAGTGAAATAAAAACCAAACAACAACAAAAAAAGCAAAGGAGAAGGGCAATAAAACAGAGGCAGTTTTTCTCTTCATATCAAACTACCAAGCAGGATGTCTGATTCACAACAGCTGTTCAGCAAATGTTTGGGGAATGAGAGAAGGAATGAAGTAGGCATCTCACATTGTGAGGGCACCTGGTGAATGTAAGGGAGCATGACACATGTGTTGTGAGCCCACATTCTCCCCACATTTCTGAGTAATGTGATCCCGGTAGAGTCTGAAGATCCCAAGTCATCCTGGCTCTGCCTTGCTGGCTACTGTTGGTTCTTGGGAGAGCAGGCCAGCAGGCCCTGCTTCTTGTATGAGCAAAAGGCCACTTGTGGTTCCTTGTGGTCTATTCATCTGTGTCATAGGCCTCACTTACCTTTTCAAACACAGGGAAATAGCGAATGAAAGCTTTCTGGGCCATGTTAACCACTTCCTTTTGTTGATCGTCTGGTTTTAGAAAGGGATGCATGATAATCAGTTCCAGCAGATCCAGCGTCCCCTCCACATACATGTCAATCCTGAAAAGCAAAAATAAAAAAAAGTGTTTTGCAATTTCCCCTCCCATTGAACTCCTGGTGTTCACAGCTAAGAATTCAGAATGCTTTTTTCCTGAAGGTTCTAGTAACTTAAGTACCACAAAGCATTTATCTATACCTGTTTTTTAGGACCAAAGATGCAAGGTCAATCAATTTTAATTGGAATTCAGAAAAATCTATTACAAATCACAAAGCATAATCCTGATCCCTGCTCTTCCTGCCTCACTCCAGCATCAGGCTTCACATATATAGGCACAGTGGATATAATTTATGGAATGCTTGGTATGTACCAGGCGTGGCTCTCAACTCTCTGTATCCAGTATTTCATTGACCCTTGTGACATTATGAGGACTGTGCTATTATTAGCCCCATGTACAGGGAACTCACCAGGACCCAGAGCTAAACAATTTTCCCAGGATTAGGCATTTAGAGGTACAAGAGTGAGCTCTGAGTTCAAATAACAATTCAATGCATATTCTGGGCATTGAACGTCATGAAACAGTTTCCTGTTTCTAATACTCCATGATAATACCATTTGCGAGAAAGGTAAAACACAATGATCAGTTTGAAACCTGAAACAATCACCCAGATATTAGAACCAATATCTGAATTCAACTCTTTCCTAGTGTTTATTCAGACTTTTTGTACTGACTTTCTGATTGGCTTTGGTCCCTGTTCTCTGTAATGCTACCAGATATAAAGAGGTTGGGTGTGCTGTGGAGGGGTGGAAGCCAGCTAAGGCACCAGCAAGCTGACAAGCGAGAACACTTCAGAGGGGCCACAGTACAGGGTTCTCTCCTTGAGGTCCTTGCCAAAGAGATGATGCTTCTCTGCAATGTAGTGAAGAATACTCCGGGTCTGCACCAGCTTCATCCCGTCGATTTCAACCATTGGCACTTGTTGGAACAGCAAGTGGTTACCTGAGCAGGAAGCCAGAGTCAGAAATGGTCTCTTCCCTCTCCCTACCCACTTAAAAAAATGTCCTATTCCATCAAAAGGGAGTTTGGGCATGGTCTGAGGACATAGTGGCCAGCTCCCTGATGACTGATAACTTCAGCAGATTTAGCCAGAAAAGCCTGATAATTAGCATTGTTCTAAATTTTCCCTTTTGATTTTCACTGTAGGAAAAATAAGGGTGAGGATAAAGGGTGATATAGGGTGGGGAGAATTGTAGTGACATTATTTCATCAGAGCTGTACTGGCTATTACAGGAGCTACACGTGCCTAGTTAAATCTAAATTAAAATTAGTTAACATTTTTGTAAAAATTAAAAGCTAATTCCTGGCCCTCCCTGGTGATGCAACGGGTTAAAGCACAGCATTATGAAGCTGTATGCAGCCACTGCACTATGAGTTTGATCCCCAGCCAGGGAACTGACCCACATGACGTGGCAGACGTCTCCTGACCTGCCCACTGCTCCCCTCAACAGTGTATTTCTGTAGATCTGCCTGTTCTGCTCCCTACTCTGTCTCTGGTGAACCCTCTCACCCTCTGCATCTCTGCCCTGTACCCCAGATCTTGTATGCATAAGTAAATCAATCTTTAAAAAAAAAGATAGTCCCGGGCCCTCCCTGGTGGCGCAGGGGGTTAAAGCACAGCACTAAGAAATTTAAGCCACCTCTGCATGGGTTCGATCCCCGCCTGCCCTGGAGGTGACCACATGGCGGGGCAGACCTCTCCTGACCCACCCGCTGCTCCCCTCAGCAGTGTACTTTGTCGATCTGCCTGTTCTGCTCCCTGCTCTGTCTCTGGTGAATCCTCTCACCCTCTGCATCTCTGGCCTGTACCCCAGTTCTATATGAAAAAATAAATCACACATTTCAAGACACATTTCAAGTGCTCAACTGGCACAGAAGGCTATCAGCAACTACACTGGACAGTGCAAACTGGAATGTGCCATCACTGTAGAATGTTCCATCACAGCATTGCTTCAGAGAATCTGAGGTACACCCATTGCTTCTTCTCTTCCCAGATACAGATCATTTACTACCAAATCTGTTGTTCCTGGACAAACAGGTTTGTTGCTTTCTTCAACAAACCAGCATCAACCACTTCCCTGTACCAACCTCTAGGGAGTATACAAGTATAGCCTAGCCCTCAGGGACTTGGGGACCGGGGGACACCCACTGAAGGGAGAAGAGCATTAGCCACTCCTATGATCTCAGACAGGGACACACATGGATGGGTCATCACGCCCCACAGAGCTAGTGCCTCTGAGAAGCCTTGGGCTGTGCCTGAGGACCCTTGATGACCAGGGAGGAGACTGTTTATCGGACTCCAGGCATGTCTTATGGGACCTGAGTGTGGAAGGTGTGGGACTGACTGGGGAGCTAAAAGGGGGGAGGACCCTCATGCTGACTTAATCTCTATTTGGTATTCACTTCAGAAATGCAGCCCAGTGTAAATGGGGACATTTATCTGCATGTATCAAGCAGGTTGTGATATCCCAGCTTTTGTGAAGGAAACAAGGAGGGATAATGAGGAGGAGAGAGGAATGAGGAAAGAAGAAAGGGGGAAAAGAGGCCAGAGGAGAGGGAGAGACAAGGATGCTGAATGGCTATTTACCTGGATGGAAGAAGGAGAAGAAGGAAGCCCTCCCTTTAACACAACTTATAATGAAATACTGAATAAGAAGTGGTTTCCTGGTAATTCCAGCTATTATTCCCTCCTGATTGTCTGGTTTGAGGATACTGTTCTGAATGTTTAATGTCAGCAGTACCACTGCCCTTCCACATAAATATATCAGTTCTTACAGAAATACCAGCATTACCGACAATTGTCTCATCTCCATACTCACCATCCTGCAACTTCTGTAACTGTTCTTTGGTTTCTAAAAATTCTTCATCAAACTAGATTAAAACAACAAAAAAGAGACACCCCCCCCCCAAAGAAGGGAAAAGTCATTATAGGTTCAGGACTGGAAATAGCAAGTACAATTACTTCAAAAGCAAAAAGAAAGGGCACTCGGCGCCTATATCTCCATTTCTAAATGTCACTGTCCATCAAAAGAAGCCAAAGCTCCCAGGAGAAAGGATGGTTTTGTTATGTCTGAAAGCAAAGATGTACTCAATGACGAGTGAGATATAGCGAAGGCAAACATCTGCAGGGTCCTGCCTGGCTCTACGTTGTCCCAGTCAAAACTGGGACACTTCAAGTGCCAAAAGGAATGATGCCAGTCGTGGATTATGACATACACCAGCAAAAAAAAAAAAAAAAAACCGCCTATGTCTAGTAATGTTATTAAAAAAAAAAAGGAGAAGGCTCTTCTTTACAGAATTAGCACTAATTAATGATAAAATGAGAACGTCTCCAATTTGCAAGCTTCACTTTAATAATTGATTTTTTAAAAATTCTTTTTTATTTATTTATGCATACAAAAACGGGGTACAAGCCAGAGGTGCAGGGGTGGTGAGGGGATTCACCAGAAACAGAGTGGGGAGCAGAAGAGGCAACTCACTGAAATACACTGCTGAGGGGAGCAGTGGGTGGGTCAGGAGAGCTCTGCCGCACCCTGTGGGTCACCTCCAGGGCCAGGGATTGAACTCGCACTGAAGCGGCTGTGGCTAGCTTATAGTGCTGTGTCCCTACCAGTTGCACCACCAGGGAGGGCGCTAATAATTGATTTTAGTAAGAATCACACATGGACACTGAAATCATTGAGTGATGAGGCAATCTGAAAGTATCACCCAAGTTAATGATGGCAAAGGTAAAGTGTGTCTTGTAATCAGAAAAATCTAGAGATCTTAGGATCTAGGTATCCATCTGATCAAAGATGTCCAGTGAGGGGCACCATGTGCTTCCTGCTATGACACAATGAGAAGGACATACATATTAAAACAAATAAAAATATAGCCAAAAACATTTAACTTAGATCTATCCATGAGGTCATAAATCAGGCATATCAGAATGTGGGGCAGAGTATAATAATAAATATCTTGAACTCTCAAAAAAACTTCCTTACATGCTTTGATTTTGTTCTGTTTTTAAGATTCTTTTGGGTATCCACGGTTGGGAAATGTGTTTGAAGAATATGTTTGTCTGCCATTCCCACTTGAGGTCTTCACCGCATGTCTAGCTCGGCTTCCCAGACAACCATTCACTTCCCCACTGAAAGCATGAGGTCTGTTCTCCAAGGACAAATCTTTTATGTAAAAGTCAGGCAGCCCTCCTCTGATAACTATCCTTTTTGTCATTAGGTTTCCATGTCACAAAACTGATTCTTTTTTTTGCAGTATTCACAAAAAAGTTTCAATTGTCCATTTGCATATTCCTTTTCTGTTAAAAGCATGGAAGAAAAAACCAAACAGGTACTATTCTAATGAAAGAAACTAAAGAGACGTAACTTCTAAATGCCTGAATCCTGGAAATGGAGGATGCCAGGGGACAGTTAAAACTGCTAAGCAGATCCCAGGCTCACTCCTCGGACTCACTTATTCATACTAGTAGCTGTGAGAAACCCGAAAGAGTGTACATTTTAAAAGACGATCCCTTCCAAAGGATTCTGATTCTGACTTTGATTTCTGGGAACACACAGGCAAAAAGCGTGCTATTCTCACAAGAGAATTCTCTTCTGTCAAACTTTATAAAACTACTGGTCAGTCAGAAGAAATTGTCATTGGGATGGAAAATGATTGGAGAGATAGGGAATAAATAACATGGCAGAGGAGGGATGAAGCCTGCCCACTGTAGCTGAGGCTGCTAGCTGAGTCAGCGCCTTTGAGGCCGCTACACCACCAGTTGTCTGATCCACAAGGGGATGACGGTGGAGGTGGGAACAATTTCCTACCCAGGAGTCTTAGGAGAACTGCCCCATTCTACACCACACACTCCCTTTTACAACACTCTTTCAGTTATTTTAACGGGCTCCGTGATTAGGGCAGGTGGCCTGTGAGCAGGCTTTAGTCACCTTATCACTCTGGTACTTACTGTTGGGAGTGACCAAAGATTTGCTGACAAGGACTGAATTAGGGTGGTAATGAATTGAGCCTTGCATCCAAGCTCGATAAGGTGGTAATAAACTGACCTTGCAGCCGGATGGGACCAGCTGAAGGTGACAATGAACTGGGCCTCACATCAAGGACACAGTGATAAGTCACCCATTTGGAATCTGAGCTTAGGACCTATATAGGAGACCCTTCCCCCTTATTGAGTTGGCAGTAGCTGTGGACCCCTGGGGGCCGTCTCAGCATCTCAGCTGCTGCCTGGGTGCAATACACACTGCTTGCTCAGCCTGTCTGCCTCCCATCTTTCTTTTTTGCCAGTCACAGAAGTTGGGATAAAACACTTGCCAGGCATGCTTTGCACATCATTATTGTGGTTCCAGGACTCATGAACTCCTCCATGGGCAGCCAGTCTACTCCTCCCTATTCCTTCACAAGTAGATGAGCACAAAGTTTGATTAAAATGTCCCCATTGCTGTGGGGAGGGACCTGTCTATGCCAGAGGGGACTGTTCCAGTAAACCAGGAGGTCAGCTTCCCAAGGGACACCAATCCAGCTCCCTCCAGCCTGGTGAGAGGGTAAGTCATGCTGGGCTGTCATCCTGTGACTGATCTAGGGTCACCGGTAACAGGACCCATGTTCTTTGTTGTTTAACTTACTTATAGCCAGGTTTTTATTACTACAACCAAGAATCTCAACTCATGGAAACATAGGAGGGGTAAGACAGCATAAAGATCGCGATGACAGAGGAGTTGACAAAGGATTATATTAACACACAGATAAGGCATCTATTCTGAAATCTATAAAATACACCCAAATTGCAGAAGTGTACAGGAATTAAGCAGATGACATAAACAAGTTGACTGGGTTCAAGTCGGTGGGACCAAGAACTGAACAAAATGTAAAACCATGTCCTAAGGCTGTGTGGAATGAAGGAGCTTCATCTGTGGCAGTCCTTACTCTACTCAATCCAGCAACAGCTTCTCTGTTCTGTGGAAGTAAGACCCAGTATCCTCACATCTGTCAATTTCTCAAGAGAAATCATGATTAAAATACAAAACTACTGGTGGGCCTGGAGAGGAAAATAAGTGCTTAAGGACCTTTTAGTCTCAGAGAGGGCTGGGGAGACATTCCAGCCTGACTTCTTCTAACCCAGACCTCTGACCATTGCACTTACTGTTCTTAGGTGGCATAAAAGGAGTTTCCCACCTGTCACCCATTTACAGGGTTTTGGGAAGATGAAACAAACTTTGTTCCATTCCAGTGACAGACACAAAATCCAGAGCAGGCCCTTGGTCCCAGACCTGCAGGAGTGGCACGTCTGGGTGGCTTGCTTTTATTCCCCACATAGCTCACGTGACAGAGCCACCTCTCAGGCTGTGGCCGCTGGCAGGACAGAGTACACAACATTGGTGTTTTGACAGAATAAAGAAGCATTTCCTGAGTCTCTCAGGCATCACGCACATATGGAGTGTATGAGGCCAGTGCTGATCTCCTAAGATGACAGTGAGAAAGCCCCAAAAGACAAGGAAAACTGAGGTGCTGGGCACTGGGGCTCTGGCCTTCGCCAACCACTTCAGGGTCCTCTGCCTCTGCAGCCTTGGAAAATCATACTTTCATCTTCATTTAAATAATTGGCTGGGGCCCTCCCTAGTGGTGCAACGGGTTAAAGTGCAGCACTATGAAGATAAACTCAGTGAGCTCCATCCCCAGCTAGGGAGCTGACCCACGTGGAGCAGCAGACCTCTCCTGACCCTCCTGCTGCTCCCCTCAGCAGTGTATTTTACTCCATCTGCCTGTTCTGCTCCCCACTCTGTCACTGATGAATCCTCCTGCTCCTACAACTCTGGCCTGTACCCTAGTTCTTGTATGCATAAATAAATTAAAAAAATGTTTAAAAAGATATATAAAATGCTATCGACCAACTTAGAAATCTGTATAACATAGTGTGGCAAGTTACCAATGTACAAAGAAATCAAATCCAAAACCGAATGTTCAAAATAAAAGCAAAACCCCCAAACCTAACAGCATTCTTCTGTCTTCTTTTGCAGGTTGCTATGGTAGTGACTCATTATTCTGAAAGCTGATAAAAAGACAGAATCAAGATGGTATCTTGCCTTTTCTATCAATATATGAACTTCCCTTAAAGGCAGTAAACACATGAAAAATCACTCATAAGAGAAGCACAGTTAACAAAGCCAGGTGACATGATAGAAAGAGCAACATGTGTAACCTCTAACAATGGTGATGACCACTAGCTGCTAAAACCACTAGCTGAAAAGGTAACGGAGGAAACTTTATTATGGGTGGATCAGGCTGACGTCACCAGATAATACTGATCAAGCTCAGCATTGCTGAAAACAAGTCGTCATACATGCCTGTTTTCGTACAATAGAAATGTGCTCATAGTATGCCTGTGCTGCGGTATAGCAATGGGGAAAAAATAAAGGCAGAGAAAAAAGGAGCCTGGACTCTCTGTCTAAGTAGCAATTTACAGTAAACCTAAATATGATAAAATAAGAGTAAATCATGAGAGGATTTCTCCGGGGAATTACTTCTTCCACAGATAAATGGAACTAGAAATTTAGCACCAGATCTTGGCTGCTAACAGTTTTCAAGGGAACCGGACTCCCTGTGGAAATACCTGATTCTAGGGTTATGGCTTAGAAAATAAAAGATGAGCATCTTGTAGAATCAGAAAATAAGAAAATGTTGGGGGTGTAGGTGTGGGAAGAAAAAGAGGACAGGGCTATATGAAAAGGTTTCGAAAGCCAACCTGAAAGAGCCGTGATGGTCATAGCTAGAACAATGTGATTATAATACCTATACTTAAGTCAAGACTGATACATAAAAATAATTGAAAAAATAAATAAATAAATAAATAATTGAAAAAATAAATAAGTGGAGAAAGAAAAAGTTTTCCTTACAAAAGAATTCTGAAGTTAACACACTTTGCTCTCTAAGAGATAAGTATGGGCTCAATTCAACTATTTACTTCCAAAGAATACAGGAAAAAAATAGTCATTTTCTAATGATTGGCAGATAGTACCTTAATCAATGACTAAGATTAACAGTATCAGTGATAACTCATGTGATTGCAGGTAAATTTGATGCAATGAGAACAGCACACCACTTCTTGGTATTCCCCAAAACCCAGAACTCCAGTTCATGAGGATATCAGCTAAACCCACACTATGGGGGATTCTACAAAGAACCTGAGCAATAATTTTCCAAACTGTCAAGGTTGTGAAATAAAGGAAAGTCTGCCACAGATTGAGAGTGACTTAAGAATAAATCACTAAATATAATGGTGGATCCTGGAATAGTAAGAGGACATTAGTGGAAAAACTAATTAAATTAGAATAAAGTTTGGAGTTTAGTCATACACTAATGTTAACGTTTTAGTTTTGACACAGTTATGTAAGATGCTGTCATTAGGGGGGACTGAGAGAGTTCAATGGAAAGGCTCTGCTCTATATAACTTCTATTCATCTACAATTATTTCTAACTATTGAGTTGTTTTTTTTTTTTAGTTTACTTTTTTAATATAGGGGAAATTGTTATAGATTTTTAAAAAGAATCCTAAGCAAATGTGAGGTTTGGCCCTGCTTTAGATCCAGACCGGAACAAACCAACTGTAAAAAGTCCTATATGAGACAATCAGTGGAGTGTTAGGTTTATCGATAAGAGGGAATTGTTAATCTTGTTCAGTGTGAAAATGACATTGTGGCTATGTTTTAAAGTCCTTATCTTTTGGAGCTTAAAACAGAAGTCCTCACAGATGAAACACATATTGTTGAATTCTGCTTTAAAATACCCCACTAAACAAGTGGAGGGGGAAAATCAGATGTATCTATCAGTGATTGTAGCACTTGGGTGAGGGATACACAGCATTAGTGCAAGGTTCTCTCTACTTTCCCTCATATCTGAAAACACCCATAAATGATAAGCTGAAAGAAAAAAAAAAAAAGAAAAAAACACAAGCCCTATGGTCAAAAGCACCACCATTACACAAGATACAAAAGCTGCACAGTGAAGCCACTGAATTCAACACCAAATTTACCTAGAGGCTGCATGATTAACGAAGTCCTGGCAACAACTGGCACATTTCAGGTCTACTCCTCTTTTCCTTATTAATAAATATTTATTGGTAGACCAGAGTCAGTGATAAAGTAAAAGTCAACGGTAAAATAAATTCCACCAACTACTTTCCCTTCCAAAGATAAAAACCCTGAAAGCAAGCAATCTTTTCACTGAATGAAGCATGGCAGTAACACTGGTGGAGAGAACTGAGAGCTCCGCCATTTATGTTTTCCTCAAAAGTCTGGCTCGCAAATTTGTGAGAAACAGTGTGTGTATTACCTCCACTCCTGCAGCCGCTAAAACCCATCTCACGGATTCCATCCGGCCTCTTCCGTTGGGATAGTGGAGCTTGGGCTTCGCTGCCATCAGGGCCTTGCAGGATTTCTGAAAAACAAATCAGCAGCCCCCTGGGTCATCAACAGTGCTCTGGGGCTAAATGAATATTCGGAGTTTTAGCACAGGGGGAAAAAAAAAAAACAAGCCAACATCTTATTGTTTTTCCTGACTCAATAAAACCACCACTTAAAAACATTAAAACATCTTGGCGTTTGCAGTTTCTATTTTTTGATTTCTTGTGTCTGGCTCTTGGAAAGCTGGGGCCATTTGTTGCAGACCGCACGTAGTTTGCAGATTCAAGCATCATATAATTTGCCCTTGAAAAATCTTAGATTTTACAAATTCGGCCTGGAGGAGTGAGAAGCGAGGGGTCGCGGAGAATTACACACCCCGAGGGACTTCTGCAAGTATTTATATTTGCATATACACGATCGTGTTTGATTATCACAACTGAGAGGATGGACAGGCCGAGTATTAGTATTGTCTGCAAAATGTGCGTCCATCCTCAAGCCTTCGATAGCTGTCCCCAGGCCCTAGACATCCTATCCCTGCTGTGGGACACGAGCCCGGGGGTCGCGAAAGCGCCCAGGCCACATACTGGGTCACCGGAGACTCGACCCCAGAGGTTCTCCACGTCCCAGCTCAGCCCACACCCAGCCAGAGCTCGCCCAGGGAGGATCCGAGCCGACCTTCCACCAATGCATTCAGACTCCTCCGATGGGGTTAATGAAAATACGCCAAGGGAGCCAAGAATGACCAGAACCCCAGCCGAGCTGCCCAGGTCTGCCGATTGGGGGCAGGGGCGCAGAGGACAAGGGGTAGGGAAATGTGGAAGGACTGAATAAGCGGAGGGCGGTGGATGGAGGAGCATGAGGCCCGGAACAGCGAGTGGAGAGCAGTGGAGAGGAGAAACAAGAAGGAAAAGGGAGGGTGGGGCGGCCGGAGGGACACAGACCTGCGGTCCGCTCGGAGAACCCGGGTAGTACAAAGCGCTCAGCCAGCGGTCTGCAGCGAGGCGGGACCAGCGGCGGAAAGAGGGCGCCCCCGATGGGCGAGGCTCCGGGAAGATTGCACCAATAGAGATGGCAATGTTTAGCATGCCCCACCCATCTGCAAGGCATTCTGGATAATATGAAAATATACTAAATTCAAGCTAATTTACACCTTAATTTTAGCATTTTGAGGATAAAATAGCGTTTATAGCATTAGGTAAACTTTTCCTTTCATTAAGAATTACTTTGACAATCTAGCACGAATAAATAACTCGACCTATGTGTAAAGGCAGAATTTTCTTGGGCCTTATATAGCTAGCTCGCGCGCCATGTCTCTCGGATGTGAGGGCGATCTGGCTGCGACATCTGTCACCCCATTGATCGCCAGGGTTGATTCGGCTGATCTGGCTGGCTAGGCGGGTGTCCCCTTCCTCCCTCACCGCTCCATGTGCGTCCCTCCCGAAGCTGCGCGCTCGGTCGAAGAGGACGGCCTTCCCCGAATAGAGACGGACCGGTCTTCGGTCGAGGGTATACGAGTAGCTGCGCTCCCCTGCTAGAACCTCCAAAGAAGCTCTCAAGGTCCATTTGTAGGAGAACGTAGGGTAGTCAAGCTTCCAAGACTCCAGACACATCCAAATGAGGCGCTGCACGTGGCAGTCTGCCTTTCTTTTGACTAGTTTTTCACCTTAAAAACCATTTTTATCTCTATCTAGCATTTACACTAATTTTCTTCCTAATTTTGGAGAAAAATAATAGCGAGTTTGTCTCTGCTATCTTTGAGACTTCCATTTCTATGTCCATTAGGTATATCAATAACCCGATGGTTGCTCAAAATAGAGGTCTAAAATGGGTTAAACTGTCAAGGAAAGGTACTCCAGAGAAAGTATGTTAGGTAAGGAGAGAAGTATATGGAGATCAGCTGAGCACCTCAAGGGTCAGAATACCCATTTTCAAGTAAGTATACATTCAATTTCATCATTCTAATTCTTATCACAGTAAGGTTTTCCATCCTTTACTTCTTTTCCAACCCATATTTTTGTAAGGATTCTTCATTTTAACTGAACTATCAATACATAGGACAAGCATTATTATTCTATTTTATTGATCTCCATTTTATTATTTCTAATTCGGTGATACATAAACAAATTACTGCTATTTTGCTAACTCCCCCCCCCCTACAAAAATAGCTACTTCATCTAACCAACCTAATAGGATAACATCATCGTAGTAACTAAGGCAGTATCCTAAGTCTCTCTCATTACATGGACATGTGGAGAAATGAAAAGTTTTATTACAATAATTCTTCCAGTCTATGACAGTTGCCTTTGGGTCATTTATTACTTGCAACCTCCTGAAATCAATCTATTCTTGGAGATGCTTGTATTTGTCCTGAGTCTGGGACAACCTTATTCAGTATCTGTCTGCCCACCTGATCGACCTATTGATATTTTGAGCGATCCTAAGTCCTCTCAGCTTTTAACCTTTCACCCACTTATTCAAAAGCAGGCAAAATTGCCTTAACAAAATTTGAGAGCTTTAAATCTGAGTCTGGGAAACTTTATATGCAAACTCCAAAAAAAAAAAAAACCTGGCTTAATCAAGCCTTAGCAATAAATGGCAGCTGTCAGCCCTATTCCAATAGCAGGTTTTTATAAGTCAAAGGGATAAGGGTGAGCTATAATTTCAGGGGCTTGTGAAGGGTCAGGTCAGCATGCCAAAAAGTTAGCCAAATGCTAACCATGAGTCAGATCAGCAGTGTTCTGATGATGAAGGGGCACCTTTAGGGATTCACAGTTTATTAATTAAAAGTTTGATTGGTAGACCATGTTCCTACCAGACTCTTTCAAGGATTTGAAGAATGTTTGGGGAAAGAATTTCTTTTAAAATCTTGTATGTAATTCATGAAGTGATGATCTTCTTTTAAAAATTTATATTGTACATGTGAGTGTGCTAGGAAAAGCTAAAAACATACAAGATAGGTATTAATCACAATGAAACTGGCAATAAGACATAGTTTTAACCTTTTAAAAAATATTTGTAGTCACCTAATAAATTTTGGAAATCCTTCATAATGCCCATAGGTGTTTTAAAATGATTTTTTTACTGAAGTAAATTTGCATTATAGCATATAAGGTAGGTATCATTATAAGTCAACACCTGCATATACTACATTAAATTAACCTCTAAAATTATATTTGTATCCGTCACCTTACTGGGCCTCTTTACCCTTTTTCAATACCTATTTTCCTCTTCCTTTCCAGTACCCAATAACTTGGTCTCAAAGTTTATTTTATTTTTTTAGTTAATTCCCTTGGTTTCCTATATACCACATGAAGGCAAAAATCAGGTGGTGCTTGTCTCTCCCTATCTGACTTATTTCATATAAGTGTGATACTCTTTGGATTTACCAAAGTTGTTGCAAATGGCAGGATTTCTTATGTATGTATTTAATTGCGGTCACACTGATTTTCAATATTGTTTGTATTTTAGAAGCTAGGTTCTCCCCTCTTCAGGTGCTGTTACTACATCACACCGATCACCAAAGCACCCATATTTCCTCACCATAGTCCATTAAACTTCCTCTCTGCTTCCTTCTTGCCCCTCCTCCTGCTTTGTAGTCTCAACTCTACAGAAAGATTTTTAGAGTTTGTGTTAGTTTGACTTTATCAGACCCCTTGTTTTTTTTATATTCCACATACAAATGACACCATCCCATAGTCCTTCTTCTGATTTAATCTCATTTATCATAATCCCCTCCAGCTCCATTGATGTTGTCACAATGGCAACATTATCTTTTTTAATAGCTGAGTACTATTGTGTTGGACATATCCGTAACACATCTTCCTGGTCCACTCACCTGTTTGGGGGAATTTAGGCTGTAAATGATGCTGCAATGAATATAGGAATGCTGGTTTTCCTTTAAATTAGTGTTTTTTAATTCCTTGGGAAGTTACCTAGGAGTACAATTCCTGGGTCATGTGATAGACTCATTTTCAGTATTTTGAGAAGTCAGGGGCTGACCCAGTCTGCAGTACTAGCTTTCTCTCTACAGCCTTGCTGACACCTTTTGTTTCTGGTCTTTTTTGATGATATGGTTTGTTCTCACAGTAGTGAGGTGTTATCTGATCATGGTTCTGATTTGCATTTCCCTGAGGGTGAGTGATGCTGATCATTTTTCACAGCCCTGTTGGCCATCTGTATGTTTTCTCTCAGAAGTGCTTATTTACTACTTCTGCCATTTTTGGGATTGGGTTCTGTTTTCTTTTTGTTGAGTTGTCGGATGTATGGGGTGCAAATATCTCCCCTCTTCAGTGGGGTCGCTTTTTGTATTAGTGACAGTTTCTGTCGCTGTGTAGAAGCTTTTTAGTTTTATGTCGTCCCAATTGTTGGCACTTTTGTTTTCCTTGCTTTTAGAGACAAATCCACAGACAACCTCTGAAGCCTCTGTAGAGGTGTGCTTTGCCTGTTTGCTATGTATTTAATGGCTTCGAGTTTCATACCCAAGTGTTTTCTCCATTTTGAATTGATATTTTTATATGGTGTGAGATAAAGTTCTAGTTTCATTCCTTTGCATGTGGCTGTCCGGTTCCCCAAACACCATTTATTGAAGAGGCTTTCTTTGTTCCAGGATATATTTTTGGCTCCTCTGTCATAGATTAACTGTCCCTGTATATGTGGGTTGATTTCTGGGCTTCAATTCTATACCATTGTCTGTGTGTCTATTTTTGTTCTAATACCATACTGTGGTAGACTACTTATACTGTGGTGTAATTTGAAGTCTGAAAGTGTAATACCACCATTCCTTTTTTTTGTCAGGATTGCTTTGGCTACTCAGGATATCTTGTGTTTCTATATGACTTTCGGTAATGTTTCTTCTATTTCATTGAAGAATGCCATTGAAACTTTGATAGGGATAACATTCAATCTATATATCATTTTGGGTAAGATGGTCATTTAGACAATATTAATTTTTTCAGTTTATTAGCAGGAAATATTAGATAACTCTTTATATAGTTGCTCTGAGTATATGCTTCTAATTTCTCAGTAACATTGTATTAATGAGTAAGATGTTGTATGATATCAAAACCCCAAATTAGAAAATAATGTTATCTTCTGATGAAAGAGCACAACAAAAAGAGAACACTCAAGTCAATTTTTCTTAAATTGTAATTTTATTTGGAGCAGGAGAATTTTCCTTAAGTTAAGGTTGTAAATACCATATAACTATTTTAAAAAAGCAACATTTTATTTCAGAAGGGGCTGGATAAGTAGTTTTTTATCCTCCTATTTTCTCATAATTGTGAATATTTGTTTTATAAATAAATATATTTTCAGTTACTCCCTCATAATCAAATCAGGTGATTAAACTGCTATCCGTGCTGAGATAGCTGAGCTCAGAGGACTGTTCAGGTCATTTAAAATTCACATTAGCACAGTGTCTATAAGAAACTAATAATACAGATTAATGTGATAGTTGCCTCCAGTTTGTCTTCTTAATGGTTTCCATGAGAAGGTCCTCACAATAAATTATATAAAATCATATAAAATACAGTACTTTGGTTGGAAAGTGTAAAAATAACTGACCATCAACCACATATATTCAACAAGTTGCTACAGTATGCTTTAAATGATACGAAACAGTCATTATGTTGAATGTTTTCTTATAAACATATTGCTTTTGGTCATACACTGAGCTGAAACATACAGCCTGCATTCTTTTTCTCTCTTAAATGGCACACAACAATAGCTGACGACAGGGAAATGCTACCTCATGAGAAAACGAGGTGCCCATGAACCCCAACAGTACTGGTGTCTGTACTTAACAGCACAATTCTTGTTTTCTATTATATATGTTGCCTTGCCTGTATTCAATTTTTGATAATTCAGTTTACTAGAAGTCTTAAGTTCTTCAGGCAAAAGGTGTATCTAAAAATTTCTTTGAAAATCAAATTTCTTCCTATTTAATTTCTATGATGTATGGGCTGGATGAGGGTTTAGTAACTAATGGAATTTTATAAAATGAACACTCATGCCAAGAAAACTGTTCAAGCAACCTCCCTGCTGTGCACAGATGTATCCCTCAACACACCATAGTCTCTGAATGTTTGGGTGCAGACTGAGAACTAACCCCCTGATCTCCCAGAAAGCTTTCTAACTGGAAATGAGGTATAGTCATGATTAGGTACAGTTAAACTCACTGTTCTTTTCGGTGTTTTGCGATACATTTTATAATTCTATAGTAATTAAAAGTTACATGCAACAGGTAAAATTTTATTTTCACTTAACAAACAATGGTCATTATTTCCTTCTCTAGTATACAGTGTGTATACACAATTAGTCATTTACCCACTGTGGGTGAAGGGGTGAGGAGTATTTATAGGATTTTGCTAGTTTTTCTGATTTACATTGTGTTTTCAGAACTTGGTTTTCCAAGGGAAGTGGTTTGTTGATAAACAAAGGAAAAAGTAAAAGGAACAAAAGTGAAATATCTTCTGAGTGGGTCCTACACAAAAGTATTGGAAAAACAATTTTGTAACATGTAATAACCAGGTTACTAGGTTTTTCAATTAAAGAAATGTAATGACCTAAACATAAGCTAGAGTGTGAACAATATTGTACTCACAATCTACTTGCCTCTCGATGGGATATTTACAATTTAAAAACAGCTTTCCAGCAGGCCGGGTAAGGTTTCTGATGCACTTATTTTTTATACATAATACAGAAAGGAAAAATAAATATTATTAACCTCATAATAAAGGACTCATCTCTGAAAACACATTTTCTGTTGCTTTAGATAATGAGTTGAGAATATAATACAGAAAATGAATTCAGCTTCAAGTTGTGCTTACAATAACATATTTATTTTCTGAAGCTTTGCTGCCAGTTTGTTAACAGGAAAATATTACCTATCAAGTCTACATCCATTATGTGCTTTTCTCCTGTCCCTGGGGATCATAGAGCTTGGTCAAGTACATTTTTGAGCCAGATTCTCAAAGCATCAGTTACTCTCTATTTTAGGTTAGGGTGCTTCAGGGGCCACAGTGATTTGTTCAGGTTTCAGCATATTATTAATACATCAAAGCAATAGTTTACCAACTTATTGGGCTGAACCATATTAACGCTAATATTCATTTTAACCTATAAAATGATAATTTCATGTGGTTCAACTTGATGTGTCCTTAAGTCTAGAAGCAGAGAAGAGTAGCTTGAGCCCTGGGCAAGAGGGTCAGCACACTATTGAGGTTACATTGTGTTCACTGATAGTGATCTTCCCTCTTAAGATATCACAGTGGAGGCAAATGGGCCCTACAGGATGCCACAGGGTGGACCTTTTGTCTTTTTCTGTCTCCAAACTAGCTTTGTCATTTTCAAAAATTGCTGTAAACATTCCTCTCAATGGAACAGCCTCTGCCCAACAAATAGTTTTCAATGTAGAAAGAAACTACACAAGGGTTAAGAATTCAAATGTGGCAGGTTATGGATACCTGATATCATAGACTTCCCAGTTAAGTGAAATCTCTGCCATATATATTTTCTGCTCCCCAAATTTAGTTCAGATAGAAGATAATATATTATCTGTTCCCAGCCAGACCTGGAGGACTGAGCTGGCTGTGAAATTCTACCAGTTATTATAATAAAATGTCTTCTGTTGCTTGATTAGCTTTTTGATGCTGTCCCTTGGCAGGGTATATAAGATTGATTGTGTTAATATTTATGTTGAAAACATTTGACTGGTAAGGCTTTCCTTTCAAACTGGATTTCAATAATGAAAGAAAACAGAACTTTGTAGCATAGCATGATCAAGCTTGGATTCATGTGGCTATCTAACCACTGGAAAAGGTATTGGGAAACTTTCAAAAATATTTAGTTATTCTGGCTAAGGAACAAAACCAAAGTAAAAAACATACTGCATATTTTAAAACACTAGAGTAGAATTAAAAAATCAGATCAATAGCATGATATGGAGAGGGCGAGAGATCATTTTCCTAGTGCTGCTGGCAGCCCAAAGGCTGAGGTACCTCAAGTGCCACATTTAAAGTTTAACCAACACAAAAAATAATCATAATAAAAATTAACCACTCTACAAATATCCCCAAACAATGTGTAAATAACCTTTAATCACATAACCTTAAATTGCACCCCTGTTGCAATACTGCATCAATATTAGATTTTTTAAAAAATCTGTATAAAATACTATCTGGAACCCCAAAAGAAAATCAATTAATTTTTAAAAAGTTCATTACAAAGTTGACTGTATCAAATGCTAAAACATAATCCATATATATATATAAAATGCTGCTGTTTACGAAAATAATGGGAACCAGCTGTAGAATAAAATAATTTTGTACCAAAAAAGGACATTGATTCAAAACAATATCAAAAAAAAAAAAAACTTTAAAAAAGAATGTTGAAATGTCTTAGTTCAGAAGAATAACTATAAAGTATTTGCTTTTACACCATCCAAAAGTTTTTTGCAGCTAGAACACCAGTTGGTCAGGGACAAGATCCCACAGGCCCCGTGAAGGGCTTCACGACTGTCACCGCCGAGACGCGTACTTGGAAACCCAGTCCGTCCGGCCGTGCACCGGCTGGGGAGCCGGCGGCCGTGGCAGCAGCCCCGGGGTGCTTCTTGGCTGGGTGTGGAAGAACGGTCGCCCTGGATGAGGTCTCACAGCCTTCAGGGAAGAATAACCTGCCATGAAAGGGAACAGTGGACCAGATTGACATGGGACCACGCAAACAAAGTGTAGATAAATGCATCTTTGACAAAAACCTCAGAAAGCAAGGGTTCCAGGAGAGCAGTTAGCTCCCTACTCCTATCTTCCCTCTCTCAGTGAGAAACAAGCCCATTCTATAGTTGGCAGGTCAAAACTACCGGCACCATTCCTGATGTCTCTCTCCTTTTCATCTCCCACTTGCGATGTGTCAAGGTGCTCACCCTTCTTAATACCCAGATCCCGGCACTACTCCACTCTAACCTCCCAATCCAGGCCACCCTTGTTCCTGGCTAGACAGATGCAAGTTTCCCCCTTGTTTTCCCTGACCCCCTCCTTTCGCCGAGTGACAGGCGGCACTTGAGTGAGCCTGGAGGGCTGAAGTCAATTCACCTCACTCCTCTGCTGAGAACCCTCCAGTTCTCCCATGTGGCTTAGAGTCATTGACAAGTTTATAGTGGCGGCAAGGCCCCACACTGTCACTTCCCCCACCTTCTTTTCCCACTGGCCACCTCTCACACCACTCCTCACTCTGCTTTCTTGACTATGTTAGGACTACCCTGTGTCAGAGCCCATGACTGCTTTATCTAGAGCAGTCTCACCCATGTCGAGACCAGCACACTCACTGCTTCAGATCTTTACTCAGTGACACCTTTGTGGTGAGGCCTGCTTTGCTTATGCTATCTACAGCTACAACTGTAACCACATGCCAGCCCTCACTTCCTACTTCCAGGCACTATCTTTCTCCAAAGCACTCTGTCCATTTATTTGGTTTGCATATTTTATTATGTATAGATGTATGCACATTTATTCCACAAGATACTGGGAACTTTGTGTGTTTCACTGGCAGATCCTAGGCCTACAACATGCTTGGCACAAAGCAGTCACCTAGGGACTATTTGAGGAATCAATTCCTTAATAATTAAAAATGGAACATACCAGGGGAAGGGTCTGGAATAGGTGCTAGGTGTACCCTCTGCATGGCAGAACCAATTTCTCTTTTCATAAAGGAGGGGAGATAGCTTCCAGGCAGTCCACTAGAACTTGCTGAGCCGGAACCAACTGATTGACAAAAGCAATAGTTCATTACTATAAAGACACACACACAGGCCCTCCCTGGTGGCGCAGCGGGTTAAAGCACAGCACTAAGAAGCTAAAGCCACTTCAGCATGAGTTCAATCCCTGCCCCGGAGGTGACCACATGGCGCGGGCGACCTCTCCTGACCCACCCACTCAGCAGTGTACTTCGATGATCTGCCTGTTCTGCTCCCCACTCTGTCTCTGGTGAATCCTCTCACCACCCCTGCACCTCTGGCCTTTATCCCAGTTCTGTATGCATAAATAAATACATCTTAAAAAAAAAAAAAGACACACACATGACACCAACAGAGTTAAAAGACAGCAGTGCAGGACAATAAACAGTTAGACTTCTATTTTAAGGGGATAAAAAGAATTAAGATAAAAACAGTGAGTTCTCAGCAGAGCATTCCATCACACCACACCACACTGTCAGAAAGACACTGGGAGGCAAAGGCAGTGTTGTCTCCACAGCCGCCCTGCAATGGAGAATGCTTGGTTGGTTGGTTGAAGAACAGGAGAATTTTCAATTTCTCTCTCTCTCTCTCTTTTTTTTTTTGAGAAATAGTTTTAGGCTGTTTCAAAATTAGCTTTTTCCACTTCATAATATAGAATAGCAATCCTTCTGTGTCATTTTATACAAATTCTACAGTATGGCTATACCATAATTCATTTAGCCACCCGCTCATTGAGCAACACACAGGTTGTCTTAATTATTTCCTTATTACAGATAACGCTATACTAGGTATTCTTGTCCAGACTAAGAAAAACGATTCATTATTAAAATATATTAAATACATTTACTTTTGATGTGATTTCCATACTAAGAGCACTTTAAGGACCAGAACTGTATGCTACTCATCTGAATATTCCAGGACGCTAATAAATGCCTACATATAGTCAGTAATCAGTATGTACCCAGTCAGTTATTAAATATCTATAATAAGCCTTATTATTTTTAAAGGTACAGTGGTGAATAATGACAGCTGCCATTATGAAACATTAGACAAATGAAAGCTAAAGCCATTAGAAAAAGAGTAAATGAGCAGAGTTGCTTGGGTCTTCACAACAAAGAGCTTTCTTGCTCATTTGCTTAAGGCAGAATAGAAGAATTGGTCTGTGATGGAATATAAGGAGCTGTGTTGGTCATCTGGAGTATAGTTTGCATAGTTTGGGGAACCAATAAATAGAAAAATGGGAAGAGAATTTGAAGAGGTAAGACAAAAGCAAAAACATAGTCAATAAATATAAGACAAGATGTTCAACCTCATTAGTAAATAGGACATGCAAGTTTAAGTCACAGAAAGATGCCACTTCACACCCATCACATTAGCACAAATTTACAATCTTGCCAGTACCAAGAGGCATCAAGGATGGAGCACAACTCCCAGACCCTGCTGGACAGCAATAGGGCAACATCTGTAAAGTCGAAGATGAGCATACTCTTTAATCCACCACGCTGACATGATTCAGAGAAGCCCTGACCTAACATGGTGTCCAGCACAGGGGACACAGTGATGATTCCTGCACACGTTCTCATAACACAAACTACAAGCTACTTACATGTTTGTCAAGAAGAGAAGGGGTGAAAAAATGATGGTCTAGTTTAAATAATATGGTATTGTACAATTACAGAAAAATGATATATATGTATGATTGCTACATATATAATAAGTGGGCAGGAGCACAAGGGATTATGGTGGTGGACTAAGGGTGCTTTGGTGGTGGAACATCTGAAGGGGGGGATCTTATACTTCCAAAATACCAACAACAATGTAAACCAACATTAATGCAATTAAAAAGTGGACTTGCACAGGAAAAAATAAATTTAAATGAGTGACGAGATCTAGGATAACGTGCATAAAAATTTTAAAACATGCAAAACCATACTATATAGTCCTGGAATATTTTTTAAAATTTGCATAGAAAGAACAAATACTGAAGTAAGGTTGGAGGGGCGGTGGTGAGGAAGGAGGGAAATGGAGAGCCCAGATACTGGTTTTCTACATATTTGCAAGTTTGACTCCTTAAGCCAGGGGTGGGGGTAAGAGTGATGACATATGATTTCTTTCTTCCTCTATTCCTCAAAAAAAGCAGAAGAGTGACGTCTAGAGACTTACTTGGCCACACAAAAAGGGAAGCAGCACTTAGCTGGGGCTGCCTGTGTGAGGGGAAAAACGAGGGAAACCGCTCTGTTGGGAACGGGGTTAGTCAGTCTGGAGGACTTAGTAAATGTAACCCCTATTAAAAAAAAATGTGGAGAGGGTCTTCCAAATGGTACACCTCCCAACCAGAGGGCAGTTTGCTGGGTTAAGGCTGGGTCAGATGGAGGGGACCAGCCCCATTTAACTTGGACTCAGAAGGATGTCACCTTCCACAGAGCAGGGCTTCAGAAGTCAGACTCTCGACTCTAATGTTATTTTTGTTTTCTCCTTGAGCCTGGGAATATTATGATCTACTCCCCAGCCACTCTTGAGAGCAGAAGCTGTGGGAACTGGCTGAGTCCCCAGGGCCTGCTGCCAAGAGAGAGAGAAGATGCACAAGCCTGGAAGACACCCCTGGGTTTCCACACCAGAAAGGCCGTTGGGGTCCACAGTTCATACCCTCATCTCTCTGTACCCACCCTGCCACATCCAGAGAGACTCTGCTTGTCATTTTGGAATTAATTCATCACTCACCTGAATTTATTTTGCTGACTACAGAGACGGTCCCTGAAGATTTTCCAGATAAACTAGAACTAGACCATGGATTAGATGGAATAAAATCTTTGCCTGGATTCGGGAGGATGCCATTTCTTATATTTATTCCTACGAGGGAAGAAATGATTTTAAAATGCAAAATGCGTATTTAATCTTGTACCAGACTTTAGGGATGAAATTAGTGCAGAACCCAATTGATCAAAAAATCCCCGTGGTTTAACAATGTGAGAAAAAACTGACTATGGTGAGGTCATCTGAGCAATGGCAGGGGAGAAGCTGTCACTGAGGTTAGAATGTCATTCCACTGAGAGAAGTTTCTTGAACTTCTACCAACACATCTGTCCATGTTTTTTGTCTCCGCCCTTTCTGGTGTTGTCCAGGCTGAAGTACTCCTGGATGTTCATACTCGTCCCCTTTCAGAGCCCTCTGCCTTCCTGTAGCCTTTCTATGTTCTTCACCACCCCCTATCTTACCTCCTAGCTCTGCAGCTCTCTGCTCCCCTCTTTCTGCATTCCCCTAATATTCCATCTTCTTACCTGACCTGGGCCATGCCCACCATCACACACTGGTGACCTCAGTCAGTACCAATGGCCTTACCAGACCCCCTCAGCTCCAAGCCTGTCTTGAATTCAACCTTGAACCTCAGCTTCAAGCCAAAGCACTTTGTTTTGAAGATCACCCACTTTCTCATTTATGTCAGACTCTCAGCTAGTTTTTAGAATGAAAGGCCGAATTCTTTTATCCTGCTCTTTTTCCCCTTAAAGGCAAAAATAAGTAACTTTCCACTTTACTCCCTGCTCCCTTCTGCCCATGGTCAGTAGTTTGCTTCTTCATGTCTCACACCTGCATCACTGTTGGTCCCATGTTGGGAACTGTCAGACCAATGTTCTAAGACCGCAGCATCAATCCTGGTAGAATACGACAGTATTTAGAAGCCCTACCCAGGAACGAGGAATTAATGCATCAGCAGGCCCTACCAGTCCCATGTCCACCCCTCCGTTTGACCCCCAGCCCCAGCCTGAGTCACAGGTGGCTCCTTCACCTGGACACCAGCTGTAGCCTGCCGACTTCTTCCCCACTTGGCACACATGTCAGTCTCCAGTTACACTCCTTTAAGAGCTCCCATTGCCCAGGAAATGAAGTCCAAATTTCCTACAAGATCCCAAAAGTACACGCTACATGTACATACCACAGTCTCTCTTGCCTGTGCTGTAGCCCACTGACCTCTCTGTGTTCCTTTCAGAAGCCCAGGATTTCCTGCCTCTAGGATTTTGTACTGGTCAAAGGTTCCTCTGCCTTGAGGTTTTCCCCTCTGTTCTAAGCATAGTTAGTTCCTTCCATTCGGTGGGGCCCAGCTAGGGGTCCCTTGTTCAGAGAGTCCTTTCCTGACCCCTGTCTAAAGTGGCGCTTCCTCCCATCACCCTAACAGCACTTATTACCGCCTGTACCACTGGGCTATTTAGTTTAGGGTCTGTCTCCCACACTGGGAAGTATAATGAGGAGGGCAAGGGTCAGGAAAGTATACTAACGAGGGCAAAGATGGACCAAAATCGTTTGCAGGGCTGCTGTGTAAAGTGGATGGCGCCCCCTGGAGTTGAGTGGCCCAGGCTTGGCTATTCGGTTCCTCCAGTGCAGAGCACATGGCTGCTGCCCAGTATTGCTTGCTAAGTGAATTTAGGATTGAACAGCTGGCTAATGCTGAAAGCTGGAGGTAGGGAGACTTGGGCACTCCCCAACCCTGGTGCTTACACTGCACCTCGAGTGCTGCCAGGTGATAGGACTAAACCCCTGCCCCGGCTGCCCGGAGCACACAGGATGGGCATCTTTGCCTGAACCTGGTGGTGGAAGAAGCTCAGGCATGCTGCCTGGCTCTCACCAGTTCCTCCCTGTTTCAGGGCTGGGCCCAGTTTCTTCTACCAGATTTCTTATCTCAGGTAGCTATACGAGACAAAAACGTGGGCCTAGGCCTCAGCCAGTATTTCCATGATGCTTCTTTTGGCTGTTCTGAATGGCAGCCTGAAGCATTTACTTTCTCAAACGGGGCATTTCCGGAAAGTGAGCCCTTATCACTGATCGGAGTATAGGTACAAGGTGCCTACCGGGCAGGTATCGGGAGTGCTTCAAGTAGTGCTGCTTGGCGGCAGATCTCAGGGTTGGCGTGTCTCGCCTCTGATAGGAGGTCTGGGATGGGGCGCTATTTCCTGTACCCATAGGCTCAGAGGGCTTCAGGTCCAGAACACTCTCAAATCTGAATGGATAGAAAGGTGCCTAGGTCAGCAGGAGACAGCAAGCATCATCAGACAAGCAACAAAAATCCCATGAACCCCAGATTCAAAAGTCTGTTTATAGGCTTTACACACTTGCCTGCAGAGACTCTCGTCATTCTGTCTTTTCTTGTTCTTTAGGTCAATCCTGGTGAAGGATGGGCCAAAATCCAAGTCATCCAAGTCAGCCCAATCATCCGAATCCTTTGTTGACCTGGAAATAAGACCCCACCTTCTTCTACTCTTTGGCTTGATCTCACAATTTTTGTGCTCCAGGCCGGGTAGGATTTTCTGTGTATACGAAGAGAGGAAGGAAAAACAGTACTTGCTATAAATGGAGTTCACCCACACTTAATTCCCATTCCAAATTTTCCCAGTTATGAAAAGTACCCTGACAAGGCAGTCCCACTGTGATTGGCTCAGGTGACAGCCTGACACACCCCCAGACCTCTGCCCCTCACAGAGCCCAAGGGACACAGTGGCTTTCATAGAGTGGGGGGGTACTAAGTTGCATAAGGTAAGACTTCTAAAAAGGAAATGTGAGGTACTTCTTACATACTAGACAAATGGCTAGATGCTCATCCCTAAAAGAGTTAACATGATTTGTACCATCATAAATAAAGACCGAAGCACTTACAGCTGCCTGTCATCTCATTTTTATAGAAAACAGGCAAATAATGACTATTGTATTAGACTCTATCGTTCCTTCTTATTAGACCCAGATCCTATCTCTTAAGTTCAGAATTTACAGCAGATAACTTCCAAATACCGCTTCCGAGTTGGGGGCTGGGGTAAAGGAACTATCTAGAGTTACTCTTGTAGCCTCACGTGCAGTAACTTCCCTGGTGCAGCTGAGAGCCAGCGCTCAGTGACTGCATGCTAGACAAGAAAAGTATTGCTTTTGCATAAAGGTATTAGAAAATTGCACTCTTTAAACAGCCTTACAAAGCTAAGAGCAACTAAACTCCCTTATTGGGCTGTCATTTTATCAACTCCAACATTCATTGTCTCCTTTTGAACACAGGCCCAAAGAGAAAAAAGAACACCTTAGCACTAATTCATCTACTGAGAGCACTGATAAAAACACAATCTACAAAGATTACTCTGGCACCTTATGATTTTCAAAAACATGACTTTTGATCCTCATGAACAGCCCAGTCTGATGGGCAAAATGGGCATTATACTTGTACAGATAAAGAAACTGGGTTCATGGGGACTATATACTGAGATGAGAAAGCAGACATTGTATAAAAATGAAGACTGATGTAAAAAATAGATAAGATAATGAAAAAAAATCACTAATTGGAAAAAAATTAAACTGAGTTCAGAGAGATTAAAAATCACAATGACTAACATTTATGGAGTTCTAACTAAGCACGAGTTATCATTCTAACTTATTTCGAGTATGAATTCATTTAGTCCTCAAAAGAATTCAGGTAGTTGCTCTTATTATTTCTCTTCTACAGTGAGGAGCTAAGCGCCAGGTAACTTTCACAGGTTCTCCCAGTTCCAAAAGAGCAGAGCTGAGATCTGAGAACCTGCCAATCTGGCTGCAGCATCCAGCTCTCCGCCCATACACCACACCACAGCTGCTCTCCACAGGGGCCCGTTATGAATACATTATTGATAAATAGAACCAGAATGTGGACTCAGCTCTCTAAGTCCCACGCTAAAGCTCTTTTCACAGATCCATAATATTGTAACAAAAATTGATTATAAGTAGACCTTGTATGTTGAAAAAGAAAAAAATTCACACAATACTAGTGGGATCAGAAGAGGAACAGGCTAGGTGCAAGGCTCACTAGTGAATCTTCACTGCTTACCGACTGAGGGTTCTTGGTGTGAAGGGATGGGAAGAGCAACAGATTTGATTTGTCCTCTGGAAAATGGCTTGGGGGATCTACCTTTGAAGCCTCTGCTTTATAGGGGTATACGGTTGGCTGGGGGGGCTGGCTGGCTTGAAGCTGTCTTGAAGAAATCCGCGTGTGGGGCTTGGTTGGGGGCTGGGCAGGAGGGACTGGCTTCATGTGAGGAGGCAGGCCTGCCTTTTCCAGGACATCCTTCTGTGATTTTTCTGAGTCCTGAAGGCTCTGTGTGGTGACGCCCAGTGGGTGCCGAATGTAGAAATAAGGATATCGAAGTGCCTGCAATGACACATGAGCCTGCTTTAGGAGACATGTCTAGCCAGGGAAATAAACACCATCAGGCTCACTAAGTGCATATCACGTGACCAGTTTACCATAGTGTTAATTTTTTTTTTTTTTTTGCATAGGAGAACTGGTGTGTAAGCCAAAGGTGCGGAGGGTGAGAGGATTTACCAGAGACAGAGTGGGTAGCAGAACAGGTAGATCTACTGATATACACTGCTGAGGGGGGCAGCGGATGAGACAGGAGAGATCACCTCCCTGGCTGGGGATTGAACTCAAGCCATAGTGGTGATAGTGCTGAGACTTACCCCCTAGGTCACTAGGGAGACTGTTACCATAGATTTTTTTTCTTTTCTTTTTTTTTTTTTTTTAGCTCAATTGAACATCCTGAATCTGGAACATGGCTTCTGAATTTCCCCACCTAGTATTTAGTAAAATGTAGGTTCTGTTTACACTTAAAACTATTTGGCTAAAGCTGCCATTTATGCTACTGTTACCTTTGCTAGCTCTGCAAAATCATCTGGCTCAACACAGATCCTGGCTTTGTAACTTACCTGCTTTGTCTCTTAAACATGATATTTCACCTTTCTAAGCCCATTTCTTCATTCCATAGAAAAAAGAAAAAATAATATAAGCCTGAAAGGGTGATATATTATGATACTGGTGAATTCTGGAGAATCAAATATAAATTATGCAGGTACCTCTGATTTACCCCAGAAATGCTTAAAGTGTAATAAATGATAAAATTAAACCTTGCCTATGAGGAACTGACAACTAACCTTGTCAATTGTTCTGAATAACCAGGTTTTCTGGATTGTCAGAAGATAAATCTTTAAAAAGTTCTGGGGTTTACAATTTTTATTTTTAATTAATATTTTCCTCTGTTCCCTAGTCTTTTTGATGGAAGTAATTGGCTCTAACATAATCTCACCCTCTGTACATAGTTATACATATCCACGATTATATGTAACTGGAGATACACAGGCAAGTAATGTGGACACTCTGTAGGAGGCCCTGGGCCCTGGCATCTAACTTCTCTGCAGTCCCGGGCATTACTGTAACTAACAAGTGGGAGGGATTTTTTAGCTTTTCTGACACTATTTTTAAAAAGTACACATTCTTGGTTTCTTGTAACAAAATCTTTTTCTTTTCATCACTTGTGTGTATCCTTTAAAAAAACTGGATTCACCAGAAAGCTTCTTTCTTGCCCTGAAAACATCAGAGCTTTCCAGGCATCAAGTCACCCAGAGTCTGGTGGCACTAAATTATGGGCCTTTCTTCTCTGCAAAGCTGCTTTTCTATAATTCCTTAAAATCCCCCAATTAATCATCTCCCCAGCTCTCAGACATTCTAACGTCACATCAGCACTGTCTTCAAACGTCCCTGTCACTTTCACTTAGCCAAATGATTGTTGCTGATTAGAACCGGTCAGTTTTCATTCCCTGAACAGAGTAACCATTAATGAGGTGAGAAGGTCTAGAAACAGCTTATCCAAAAGGCAGCTTGTTTGAGGCTAGGAGTAGAAGAAGCCCAGGGCACTATCTTACCTCTTTTGGATGCATTTTAAGAGTTTACAAAGTGGTTTGGGAGGGGGTGGCTGAAAAAACAGAAGGTGCTGGTCAAATCCTCTGACATCTTTGCATAATCTACATTAGTTATAAGTGAGTGTTTAAGGGAAATCACTTAAACTTTCCGAGATTCAATTTTCTCATATATAGAAGAAAACAGTAATATCTGTCTCGTGTAGTATTCTTATGATTAAAATCACATAAAAACATTCTAGAGCACTGGCAAACTGTAAAGTGCTACACAATGCTCATTATAGTTATTATCCTAATTCTACCCCACCTGCTGCTCTCACTATGGCGTCTGTAAAATGAGCCTGTTGGAAGTCACAAGATATTTTCAGATTGCATTTCAATAACCGGTATTACCTAATACAAACTGCTAGATAAACTTAACTCATAGAGAATGTATGTGCATACATTCTCCAAAGACAGGTAGAAATATCTGTTCATTTTCATTTCCACACAAAGTAAGTCCTCACTTGACATCATCCACAGGTGCTTGGAAATCATACCTTTATGTATAATGACATATAGTGTAAGCAAGTCCTTGAATAATGTCAGTTCATTTGATGTCAGCTGGGATTCCCCTTTTTTCAAGTTATAAAAAAAAATGTTATTCAAAGACTTGCTCCATGTGTGTGTTGTGTGTGCGTGTGCGCAGATATGGTGATGTAGCACATGAATTATATGACAATATTGTTTAAAGCTTAATCACTTTAACTATATACAGCAAGTTGCAAACTATTTTAATTCTTAGCTCTTATATTTTTTACTCATAATACCAAATCAAAACTCCCAATGAAATTTATAGAAACTATTCAAAGTCAGATATGAGTTTCATAAGAAATGTATCGAACAGAAGAAAACAGAAGAGAACCTGACTAGCTGTTGGTCGTTTCTTGGGATCCCACTGAAGCATGTCTCTCAGGAGCTGAATTGCTTCGCTGCTAGCATTGGGAATCAGGGACTTTAAGTTACTGGGTACATACTGGGGCCAGCGGAAATTCATAGCACTTGATAGCTGGTAGCCTTCAGGCCAGTTAGTCTGAAAGGAGAAGAGAGAAAGTCTTGTTCAGTCAGTCACCATGCTTGGGACTTATCTTTAGGCAGGTGTGCCCCTCATGCAAAGGCAATCACGTCATTTCCATGCCACATTCACTATGTTGGCACTGTGTGTGACACGCAGGGGAAAGCTAATGGAGAACTGACAAAGAGCATGAATTCTAGGGAATAGTGGATAAGACACTGGATTTGTTACCGTTTTGTTTATAACCTTAACAGAAGATACTTCACCCTCTAACATTTGGGGTTGAATCAAATCAGAATTTTCTCAGTTGTGTTCCATGAGACAGGTTGTAGAAACTGTAAATGGTATGTTTTGGGATGAGGAGGAGAATAAAAGAAAGAAATTTATAAAATCTTAGATAATTCAAAATATACATGCTGAGAAGTCCAGCAGTAACAAAAGTTGTTTTAGTCTTGGTTTTCCGTATTTTCATCATCATATACCTGGGACACTAAACGCTATCGTGAAAATGACTTAAAGTAAGAAATAATCTTTAAAGTCCCTTCTAGTTTCAACATTCTACTATTTTTCAAAACACATTCTGATACTATATATAGCTTATGTCATTCATTCACATAGTAGAAAGTTACTGAGTGCCTACTCTATGCTTAAGTGTTGTTGGGTATCAAAAATAATCCAGTATAAATTATGGCCTTGAGGATATTACTGTCCAAAAGAGAAAATAAGCCACTCATCTGAAAATACAGTCATACAAAGTACAAAGTGACAGAGGAGACACAGATACAGGTACCCAGAGGAGGGAGAGGCGCCAGTGGGAGACTGGAACTCTTCATGCAGAGGTAACATTAATGATTTAAAAATTCAAATGATTTAAAAATTTTGAGGGTCTGATTTGAATCAGCAATGGTGTAGGACCTAGAAACTTAAATGCAAATAAACTGGGTATATTTTTACACAGAATGAGTGTATGATCAGATATATACACAGATAATTATATTAATAGCACAGAACACAGTTGAAAACAGAGAGGAGATTAGAGGAATAGAGAAGAGAAACATTACCGAGGGACCATGTGAGAACTCCACTTCAGCAGAGTCTGCCTACACAGAGCGCTGTAGTGGGGAGATTCCTGGGCACCAAGCCAGAGTGTGCAGATACAGAGTTGGGGGGTAAGGAGTGAAAGTTGAGGGGCTGAGTAAAGGGGAATAAATTAATGATTTGTAAGAAGACAAGAAAGTACTAGAGCTGCTCTTTAGGAGGATGAATCTGGTCACAGGACGAAAGATAAGCTGGAGGAAAAAGAGTTGAAGGCAGAAAGATGAAAAGATACCCAAGTGGTGGGCCATCTGCGATGGTGGCAGTGGAAATTCATCAACAAGGGCAGCATGCGAGACACTAGGTGGTGTCTCAACAGGATTTATGGACCAACAACTTGGATAAGGAGGGAGAGGAGTATGGTTAAACGAGGAGGTAAAACTGGAACTCAGCCTCAAGGCTTGGGCTGTGGGATTATGATGGGATTCCACACAGAAACAGAATGAAAGAAGGTCAGTTAGGAGGTGAACAAAAGGCCGTCTGTATTAGACATGCTGAGCTTGAGATGATGGTGAGAAAGTTGGAGTAAATATCATATAGTTGTAAATTTGGGAATGAGTGATGGAGGGAAATTAGGGTTAGAGACTATATTTAGGTGACTTCTGAATAGATGAAGTGTTATAGCTACGAGAAAAGAGATGCTCTGTAAGGCAGGTAAAAAGTTACAAAGAGAAATACAGAGGGCAAATGCTCTGAAGAATAGAAGGAAAGAAGAAGCCAAGTCTTTGAACATGGATAATGGAGGCCTGCTGGAGTGGAGCGAAAGCTTCCAGCATGAGCTGCTTTCTGCTCACACTTTGTTCTGTGTCATTACCTTTTTCGGTGTGCCCAACACTTGGCAAATTTTGAAGATTGTGTCGATCTCACTGGCCCCAGGGAAAAGAGGCCTGAGGGTGTACACCTCTGCCATGATGCAGCCCACAGCCCAGATGTCAATGGGGGAGCTGTAGTTAGTAGACCTCAGGAGCACTTCCGGAGCCCTGTACCTGGAGGGACAAAGTGACCTGCTAGTTATTACTTCTGCCGACCAGAAGTTAAATTTATTTATCAATTCTCAGTGCGAGAACTCAGGTATTTCTACTTTTGGATTCATTTATTGTGGTACACGGACTTGTAAAGAATTAGCAAGTGCCATGACTGCTAAGGAGAGCACTGCATCTCATATTTTCACATCACCAGCGCTGAGCTGCCAAACTATAATGTGCCCATACAATACAACAAACAACAAAAACAATCAATCAAGAGAAACAATCTCAAAAGACCTCAAGACAAACCAATCTCAAAAGACCTAAGTAGACACTTCTCCAAAGAAGACATTCAGATGCCTATAGACACATGAAAAAAGAGTCAACATTACTTGTTATAAGGGAAATACAAACCAAAACCAGAATGAGATTCCACCTCATCCCGTGAGGATATTCTATATCAAAAAGAAGGGAAAAAAAAATGTTGGCGAGGATGTAGAAGAAAAGGAACTGTCAGTGGGAATGTAATTTGGTGTAGCCTCTATTGAAAATGGTACTGAGATGCCTCAAAAAAAGTGGAAATACCTATCTAATCCAGCAGATCTGATCCACTGCTAGGTATTTACCCAATAAATATGAAGACTCTAATATGAAAAGACATATATACTCCTATGTTCATGGCAGCTTAGTCCATAATAGCCAAATTATGAACTCAAACTAAGAGCCCAATGGCAGACAACTATCCATACACAATGGAAAACTACTCAACTGGTAAAGAGGATAAAAATCATGCCTTTTGGGATAAAATGAACAGATCTTGAGGTGATTATTTGTGGAATATAAATTAACCAAAGAAAACAAATTGGGAAAATACAGGAAAAATAATACTCAGACTCTATGAAAAATATATTGGTTAAAGGTGGGAATAGGGGAAGAAGAAAGGGTAGAGATAGGAAGGGGAAAGGAATTGGAGTTTGGGTGCAGAATGAGTGAAGCATATACACCTACGAAAGGGAGAAAATGTACCCCCAGGTTATATAGACATGCAAGCAAATGACACGTGGATGAAGCTGGATGGAAAAAAGAAATCAGTGCTCTATTTCACAGTATTTTTCTCTGAGCAATTCTTAACAGGAAAGTCCTTAACAGAATGTTTGAGAAACACTGCGTGTGAACATAAGAGTTAGAAGAGTAAAAGAGAAAGGAAAAAGGATGAGAGAGAAAGTAAAGCCTGTTGTCTGCAGGCTACTTCTTGATTATAGCTAACTGCTTAAATCTTTAGGGTCTGCAAGTTTGAACAATAGCAATTAGGTCTTTGAAGAATCTTTTTTTTTTCTTTTTTTAAATAATATAGTAGTTTATTTTTACATCATTTTATGCCTTTTCCCACATCAGTTGTAATCCCTATGGACTTCCCATCACCAATTCACCTGTATGCAATTCACCATAGTCCCATGCATGCTCCCCACCTACCCTCTACCCTTTTTAATCCCATTCCCCATTCCACCCCCACAAAATGTCTCTGGTATATAGTTGTTCATTATTACCCCCCCACCCCTAGCCCTTCCCCGGTCCTTATAAACTCCTGCTATAAGTGAAATCATCTGATATTTTTCTTTTTCTTTCTGGCTTATTTCACTAAGAATGATCCCTTCCAGTTCTATCCATGTTACTGCAAAAGGCATGAGTTTATCTCTTTTTGGTTGCTGAGTAATATTCCATTGTGTATATGTACCACTTCTTTTTAATCCAGTCATCTATTGTCGGGCATTTGGGTTGTTTCCATGTCTTTCCAATTGTAAATAAAGCAGCAATAAACATGGGGGTGCAGGTGTCTTTTTGAATCAGTGTTTTTGTGCCTTTTGGGCAGATACCTAGGAGTGGGATTGCTGGGTCATATGGAAGCTCCATGTTTAGCTGCTTGAGAAACCTGTTTGGAGGATCTCTTACACAATTCTTAGGCAATAGTTTTCAGGGTGATCTATAAAGAAAATATACTTACATTATGGAAAAGCATAATGGGCTCTCGTTTAAAATGCTGTACAATAGATTTTAACCATGTAAAATGCCAACTACCCTACAATTTAGACTCAAACTACTGAGTACTCAAACTACTCTCTTAGTGAAAAGTTAATATTTGTTACATTAACATTACCTTCAGTATAACAGAATATTTCTAAAAAAGTGCAACTAGATAATTTTGAGGAAAGCTACACTTACCATCTGGTAGATACATAGTCTGTATATGGAGGTCTTGATCGGATCTCTCGGGCCAAGCCAAAGTCTGCAATTTTCACAAGTTCTGGTCCATTGCAGAGGAGGTTCTCAGGTTTTAAGTCCCGGTGGAAGAAACCTGTAAAGACAGTGGAGAAAGAACACAAATTCAGGCTTGCTTCTGCATCACCCTGGGTAGCTATGCTGCTTTGGACACCCAGGTGGTCTGGGGATAACATGAAGGCTCAAGGCACAGAACTCCATTTCCCTCTGATAGATGCAAAATGTAAAATCGTCGAAAGTTGATTTTCATAGGTTTCTTTCCCTCCAAGAGAGAAACATGATTTAAAAATATTTATAATACCAATTTAAAATACTTCATTAACACTCATTTAAGGCCTAAGATCACATTGAGAAAGAAATCACCACTCAAGGAAAAGAGTCCATGGTTACCTTGCCCAAGGCAGCCAGATTTGAGATGAAAAACAATCAAAAAACAACAGTCTATGGCTCTTCCTAGTAATGCAACGGGTTGGAACACAGTACTATGAAGCTATTGCAGCCCCTGCAGCCTGAGCTCCCCACCAGGGAGGTGGCCCACATGGTGTGGCAGATCTCTCCTGACCTGCCCACTGCTCCCCTCAGCAGTGTATTTCAGTCAGTCTGCCTGTTTTGCTCCCTACTCTGTCTCTGGTGTATTCTCTCATCCCCCGCATCTCTGGCCTATACCCCAGTTCTGTATGGATAAATAAATAAATCTTTAAAAAACAAAACAAAAAAACAACAGTCTTATTTACCAGAGAGTTTACCAGGGCAGAAACACAATTACAATTTCTGTTTAAAGAAGAACAGAATTTATGAATGTAACCTATTCATATCTAAGATTCTGTTGCAATAACTGCTTAAATGTTAAATGTGTTTGCTTTGGCTAATCAAAAATGACAGAGTCACAGCCGCAGTTCACACAGTGAAAGGCAAAGCTAACTCATCCCATGGGAAGCCTGGTTTAGCTACAGCAGAGTTGTGGGGGTGCATGCTCATAACCACAGATATGTGCCTCTGGGAACAGAGAAAGATGCCATGTATGGAGAGTATCACTGGCATAGACATCATTCCACGTGGCCCTAGGTTGCAATACAACCCTGAAATTGAAAATATAGCTCCATACATGCTGTTGATGGTGTTACTTGTTATGAACTATTGATACTGACGTTATAAAAGCTCGACTGTGAAAACAGATGCTAAGAAGGCAGCAGTGTAAAGACTCCAAGATCACTGCATCCAGGCTCGTGCAGGAATTTAGGACTGAAAACGGACTATAGACTTACATACTACGAGTTTCAACCCAAATGAAAACACCCTGGACTTGCTAGAAGGAAGATAACTGAGGGAGAATCAGCGATTGGGGAGTTCCAATAAGGGAACTCCTATCCGGAAGCACCACAGACAGGACAAGTGGAACCTTGCAACTCCAACTGGGGGAGCACCCAGGCTCTAGTGCCGCAGATGGAGGCTTCCTGCTCATCCTGCTCGGTGAGTGGAACCCAAGCTGTAGGAAGACTGTGCAAGTTGGCACATAGAGCCCGGGAGGTGGGGAGGAAAATCTGGT